AAGATTCTGTGTAATTTGAAAGCGATGTTATCTATTTTGGAATGGAAGTAGTCAGAATTTTATTTTTATGTGCTCAAGATTCTAACAAAAAATGTAATAACAAGATCTCTCTCCAATTTGATGAGATACCTCTAAATGAGAATTCATTTAAACCCACCATGGGTCCACTGCGGAGTCAATTAATAGGTGTTACAATCCATAATGGTTCTTGCTCAAATGCTTTACTGAGCTCAAGATATGTTATTCCTACAGCATCCTTGAAACTACATGATTAAAAAAGAAGAATTTAACAAGTCTTATTTTGGACAAGACTACATCAGACTACAAACATAGCTTCTGTATACTTTTCACAACTGGAATAAGTTTATTTTTAATTAACTATAAACATTTTATCAGCATTCCTAATTATTTGGATCTTCTGCCCCTTAAAAACACACAAAAGATTCAGGAAAAATTATAACTGATTAAAGCTTTTTTAAAATAGCCTTAATTTTTTCAAGCTAAATCAATAGGTGTTTTGTGTGTGTATAAACACTCAGTGCTGGCATCAATTAACCACAAATTGAGAAAGCTTAAAAAATACCAAAGACCTGGGGAAAATGCAACTTTCCAGGTCTGTTCAGAGGAAACATTAGTATTTAAGGATATTTGAGTAAAGTCTCATGTTTGTTTAAATATATCAAAAGTGAGGAGTTTGCCTGCAATAATCATTAATACCATCAAAAATCTTCTAATCGTTAATTGTAATAAAAATGGTTATGATCAAATCATTCTAAGTTAAAAAAGAATTCTACCAAAACTTGTTGGCTATGAAACATAGATGTCAAATTTTCTGAAAAATCCCTTTGCGTTCAATTAACTTACATAAAATAAACCTTGTTCAAATATATTGTTCCTTGCTAACAATATATTTTGCTATCAAAAAGTCCAGTTAAGGATAGTATACAAAACACTCATTTTTAATATCCTTAATATGTGATATAAGAATACAGAGTCTTATTTTAAGTAGTAAATCAAGAGTCTTATTTTAAGTAGTAAATCAAGAGTTATCATAGAAAGAAACTTTGTAAATGATCAGGCTTCATATATCATCTCTTTGCATAGATAATTTACAAAATACATTTATAAAGTTCTACCGTAACTAGATCTTAAAATGAAAATTTTACAAGTAAAATAGCTTTTTCACTATTTTATTTGGTCTTGTACATACTAATTATGATGGTTGTAAATTTGCTTGAAATAAAACCTGACATTCATGAAAGCAAAACAGGTCCCTAGAGTCTGTTTTAATAGAACTCGAGCAAAGCATCTTATTAATAGAAATTATGGCTGCTTAAAAATGACAAATCCAGAAGGTAACACGAAGAAGCAGCGAAGTCCACTATGAGGTTTCCTCTTTTGGGAAGACTTGAAGATACACAAAAACTAACTCTAAAAGAGAAAGGAACAAAATAGTGCTGGCTTATACTTCCCCATGCAGTGTTTATAAGGACTCTTGGCTAAAAAGGGATTATGGCAACACTCTGAATAATTGCAAAATGCAGACAAAATATACTGAGCAGAAGATGAAAGTTTTGGCAAACAATTGCACACAACCCTCTGTTATCTTTTAAACAAACACACAATATTACACTGCATGTACTGACAATAATCAGTAGTAATGACTCATACAATATTTATATAGAATCATTGGCTTATGTCAACATCCTTCAGCATGGGCTTTTTTCATAAGTAGATCTTTGCCAGCTTACTACGGACTTCACTGCCTGCTTCTGTCTAACAACTTCTCTTTGGCTTAATCTTGAAGCATCCATAAACAATGTTGTTTCAAAAGTAGGAGGGAACAGGTGAAGAAAAGAAAGAAATCAATGATGTCATAAGGAAGAGCAGTAAAAAGAGGCATGAAATGCGAGGGGAAGGTTGTGGTTTTATTCCCACTGGAAAACTACAAACTCTCCAGGCTTTTAAATCCTTCCCTCAATCATTTTATGCCTTTCACAAAATACATACCAGGCTCCATAAGGTTACATTTGTGTAATGAACAAGTTATAATTTCCTAACAGAAATTTTGTAGTTTTTTCATATTATGGAAATGAAGGAAGTTTACCCTTACATAGTCTACTCTATTTCTATTAGTGCTGGAGCTGTAAGGAACGGAACAGAACTTGAAACACATAATCTATTGCTATCTTACTCAGAATTCTATAGTAGTTTTTTTCCAAACATCTCATCAATAGCCTTTAACACTATTTTCTTTTAAGTTTAAAAATAAATAAGCAGTTATTTACTTCAATTTGTATTCCTAAAACAAGATTATACCACCAGGGAATTATTTTCGCAGTACTACTGCAGAACTGCAAATATTTGCATCACAGCATTCTATATGGCTGAATATCATAAAATCTTTCTTTTTCTTCTGGCTTACCTCCACATCTATATTTAGTATAACATAAAATGATGAAAAGATATCAAAATATAGTAGTTTTCAGACATCTCACAACTGACAAATAAAAATGTTCATGGAAGTATTTATAAAGTTTTGATATGAAAAGAAAAATGTTTACAACATCAGTTAACAATAGCAACAGGAAACAGACCTGTGTGCCATAATTAAGAATTATAATCTAAGAATTTTTATGTATTCTCAATACAGCTAGTCCTCGACTTATGACCACAATTGAGCCCAAAATTTATGTTGAAGAGACGGCCATTAAGTGAGTTTTACCCTATTTTACAACCTTATCCAAGTTGTTAAATGAATCACCGCAGTTGCCAAGCTTCTGAATTTTGATCATGTGACCATAGGGATGCTGCAAGGTCATACATGTGAAAAATGGTCATAAGACACTTTTGAATGGTCACTAAACGAACTGTTGTATATCTATATACAGGCGGACTTCAACTTACAACCGCGCTGAACGAAGAGACTTATGACCCGTTAGAGCCACCGCAGCCTCCCTGCAGTCACATGATCAAATATTCACGTTTCTTCCACTTGCCTATCTGTCTCCTGCACCCATTTATGATCTTAAATGCCAAGGAAGTCAAATGGTGCAAGACAAAGCAGCCAGCCCACCCCAGGGTCGAACACCCTGGAAACTTCCACAGTGCAGCACAAAGCAGCTGACCCATCGAAAGTTCCAAATGCCCAGGGGACTCCAAGGGTGTAAAGCGTTCCCCCGCATCCCAAGCTGCTATTTCCACTGAAGCTGATCACCTCTAGGAACGTGTGCTCAATGGTTTTAACCCAGGAAAGTCAACCTGAAACTTCTTAAAACTATTAAGCTTTACAAGGCATGCCCTGCCTGACTCTTTGCAGGGAAAAAGAGGAAATGGGAAATGCTAAAGCCAGCTGAAACGTTTGCTTTTAGGATCGAGGGTGCTTTGCGCAGCCTTGGGAAATTGTGCTCTCTTCACAGAGCTGGGGCAAAGTGAGGCAAGCTCTCCCCCCCCCCCCCCCCCGTCTTTCAGCCCAGTCTTTTCAGGAAAGGGGGCATTTTAAGACACTGCTGTTGAGCTGCTCCTTTAGCATTTTTCATACAGGGCTAGGCTGGTGAAGGTCAGTTGGCAGGACAGTGTGGGCAGCTGGGTTGGAGCTTCCCAGGCATTCAGGGTTCATGATGGAAGAGCTGCTTTATGCCTCACTGTGGAAACTTCCCAGGTGTTTTGTTCTTTCTGAGAACTGTCTTTCGCACTGTTTCGCTGCACTGCAGGGCCAACTACAGCTTCTTTCCCTGGCCTCCCTTCCAGTCTGTGCCATACCACAGCACCCCCACAACTTGCATGTGGCCTGTGCCAAGCACCCCCCAGAAACCTTCCCACCTCCCAAGGCATCCTGTATCCTGCTTAACAACCAGTATGGTCGCTTAACAACCATGCCTGGGAAAGCCAAGATGGTTCTAAGGTTGAGTCAGGTCACCTGATGATCTGCTTAATAACCACAACAACTTAAGAACTTAGTTAACAACTTAATTTCCAGGGTCAATTGTGGTCACAAGTCAAGGACTACTTGAATATGGAATAACACATATTTATTCACTTAGTTTAGTACCAACAGGTTTTTTTTCTTACATAGATGACCAGCATAATATTAATTCATCATATATCTGATAACATCAATTTAATTTTGAAAAAAAAAACATCTTCTCAAATAATGTACTGTATACCCATTTGGTATACTACAAAAATTAAAATTAAGAATGCACAAATGAATCTATTTTAGAGGCACACTATCATAGTTTAATGTTGAGATTTTGCACTAATGTCATAGAATTATTCACATTCAGAACATAACCACATCAATGAGGTTTTTCCAAGAATTCTTTACAGCATCTGAGACATTGCTGATAAACAGTTTCAAAATCTTCATCATTTCCCTGGAGGTGGAAAGAAAAAAAAGAGAGAAAATACAGAATCCCAAATTACAAACATTTTTTTCTTACAGATAACAGTAATTAAATAGATTAAATGAGAAAATACTTACATAATATGGATCTTCAATAATAAGCTGTTTCTCTGGATCATAACTACCAAGGAGTTCAATTTGAGCTTTGCAATTTTTAATTTGATTGCATTTTCTTCTCAAGTCACTAAAAAAGATTAACTTTTCATTAAGTAAAGCAGGAGTCTTCAAACTTGACAGCTTTAAGGGTTGTGGACTTCGACTCCCAGAATTCCTCCTCCAGTCATGTTAGCTCAGGAATTTTGGGAGTTGAAGTCCACAAGTCTTAAACTTGCCAAGTTTGAAGATCGTTGAAGTAAAGCATATATTTTTATCAGTATTGCTTATATAAAAGAAACACTTGCTATTAGAATGGTTTAATAGACTCCTCTAACAACAAAGGCATCTATTCACAATGAGATCCAGAGTGAGGAATTTTCTATGGCTTTCAAGCATTTTGCCAAGTAGAAATGGAAATATGCTAATAATTCATTTTGGAAGAAAAATTAGGGAGAAAGCAACAAGTATCTTACAGTTTTACTCTCAGGCAATAAAATGGGATGAAAAATCACATGTAAAAATGTGGCTTCAGGTACCTGCCAGTAGGAAATGGCTAACTTCTTGCAACTATCCAAAAAGGATAATTGTCAGAAGGACTCATTTAAAGTAGGCAAGCCCTAATTAATTTGTGATCCAGCCCTTGACTTGATGTAAAAGAGAGAATCCTAAAGCAAAGGGAAATGTATGAATTGTACAGGGAAGTTGCAATTAAGGGATGTCAGTCTGTCTGTCAAATACAGAATTACAATCAAAGCTCTGGAGATGAAGTAATGGAGCTGTATTATGAGTTTTCCCACAGCCAAGTTAAAGTACTATCCATCAGTCCTTTAACTAGCATGCTTAACCAGCATATTTGCTGCACCTATCCTACCACAGGCATAACTCTGCCAAATAGCTATGACCTTACGAAGGTCATTACTAAGACTAATTTTTCCCTGTGCACGACATGTTAAGGAAAGAGACAAGGGGACTTCCGGTTTGGGCTTCTTCCACGATGGACCGAAATCCGTGATTGCGTGCAGTTTTGATCCGTGCTCGCCGCTGGAGCGCCCCGAGCTGCTTGGATTTGGGGCTGAAACCACCCCGTAGAGGTGGTGAAGAGGGAGACCACCAGCAGGGTTGAGGAGAGCTGCATCTCTCCTCCTCAGCTGGCCATTACTCCCGTTTCCAAAGGCAGCTGCAGCGGTGGTCAGAAATGGCCACCTCAAAGAAGAACCCGACCGGACAAGATTGTGCAGGAGGAAGTTAAAAGGAGAAAGTGTGACTGACCGGGTTGAATGGAGGAAACATCTATTTAAGGTACCCTGGAACTTGAATTACTAAGACTAATATTATTCCTGAAGAAGATTTTTTTAAAGCGGGGAAAGAGAAAAGGAAAGGAAAAAGATTTGGTTTCTTTTCTCTCACATTGACAGCTTTAATTGATTTTGAACGTTAAAAAGAGAGCTAAACAAGAAATTGATATTAATCCACTTTGACATTGATAGGCAATGTTAAGCTGAAAATAAAGTGTCAAAGAGTTACCTTGGACAATTTAAAAAATACAAAAAGGAGGAAAGCAGAGAGAGAGAGAAAAAAAAAGAGGGTGGAATCTGGAAAAATAGAGGAGACCACCTGGAAGTAAAAAGAATTAACAGTGGAATTTCAACAAGACTTGTAAAAGATACAGTGTAGTTGAAACTTTGTTACAAGATAATAGAGCCCCTGGCAAGAGAAAGTGAAAAAAGAAGCAAGAAACAACTTTGGATTATTGGGTGATCTTCGGAATTTTGGATGGTGGATCCTAATGAAATGAACTAAAATCAATTGGGGGTTGTTTAAAAACTTTTAAAATGGCATCACTCCTCTAAGAGTTAAAAATGAGACTTAAAGAACAAAAAGAAGATGCACAAGAGGGAAGAGGATCTTTTGGCTTCATATTTCAATTTTTAGAAATGGAGATCTTGAACTATGTAAAACAACAAGAAGCAGAACAAGAAGGGCAGGACAAAGAAGAAGCCATCTTTAATGGCCAAGCAACTTTTAAGCGGGGTAAAAAAGGGAAAGGGGGGAAAGGGAGTTAAAAACTTAAGACCTGAAGCAACAACCAAAAAAAAGAGTAGAAAAGTAATTATAACATTAGGAAGAAATAGAAGGGAGGATCACAGAAGGGAGAATCAGAGAGAAAGGGGAACAAAAAGGGGAGGGAAAAGGAGAGGAGAAAGATGGAAAGGAAAAGAAGTTATAAAGGACAGAAACAAGATATAGAGAAGCAGAGAAAAAGTACAAAGATTAAAGGTATAAGCCTATTTAAAAGATAGAGAGACAATGGTTAAAAAATTAACTGAGAGGATTCTTCAAGAGTACATGAGATAGCATTGTGATATTAGAAATAGAAAAGAGTTAGAAAATATGATAGATGATTATAAAATTGTATTGTTATGTAATGGAATACTTGTTAGTAATTAAATGAAACAAAGAGGATAAGAGAATAAGGCTCCCAATGATTTTAATTAAAAATAATAAATAATATATACAAAATTGAAAAGAAACATGAAAGTTTTTTAATGAAATTAATATCAGTTGACAGGATGAATTCGATTAGAATAATTTTACTTACCACTGTTAAGAATTATTGATTTTTTTCCCTTGCTTTGAACTTAATGAGTTAGATAATTTGAAATATAGGTGATTAAAGTGAATGACAATTTATACTTTTAGGTAATGAAATGTTTGTTAAAAGATGGAAATATTTAAAAAAAAGAAACGTTAAAAATTGTTATTGATATTAATGGCTGAGCTGAATTTGAATAATTATTTTATCTACTATTGTTATACATACATACATACATATATATATATATATATATATATATATATATATACACGTATATACCTATGTATATGTATGTATGTATATGTGTGTGTGTGTGTGTGTGTGTGTGTATATTTCAAGAACTTAGTGTGTATTTTTAAGGGAATGTACCAAGCAGAATTCAGTTGACAAGAGTTATGTGTTATAAAATAGAGGTCAGAAAATGAATATTATAATTGTGAAGGCATAAATTAAATCCTAAATAAGATTTGTATGGATAATAAGTAAAAGATACAAAGGTGTTATACTCCAGTCTAGTAACTACAGGGAAAAATATAAAAATGTTGATTAGAAAGATTCTGAAATTCAGAAAAAAAAAAATGTAATTAAAATTAGAAAGGAATGAGATAATTAAAAATAAGGTTGCAGAAAGCAAGGGAAGGGAAAGATTACTGAGAACATGTGAAAATAGTTATAAGATACGGAATAGAATATACAAGAATATGTAATTGAGTTCATGTCTGTATGGAAACGTGACGACCCGGGATCATGCTGTTCTCAAAAAAAGATATCTTATTTGTATTATGTTTTGTGAAAACCCAAATAAAACTTTATTTTTTAAAAAAGGAAAGAGACAAGGAGATTCCCCCCAGCTTTATTTCCTTCCTGTTCCATTAAGCATCACCAGCTATGAGGAAAACATTTACCACTCATTCATATGGAATGGGACCGAGGAGGAAGTGACTTCTAACAGATGGCTAGGCTGGTGGATTTAATGATCTGTTAAAATTCACTCTGGCATTGTGCACAAGCATTGCACGAGTCCATTCACAGAGGCTTCTATTGGATGTGGATTTAAAGCTCAGAGTGTTAAAGCAGTAGTTGCTGGCAGGCATGGCAGAAGGGAGGTGCCCTGTGAAATGGTAGAGAGGAAGCTGGTCGTGGTCAACTTAGTTTGAACTAATCAAGGCCTTTCTGCCTGGAGAACTAATAGGTAAAGGGAAGAGCCTGGGTGAATACACTGGACTTTCCTGCTGTTCAAATTAAAGTATCTGACATTGCTCAAATATTAGGGCAGGACAGAGTATGCTTGAGACAGCTAACATGGCTCATAGATGTTAGGTTTCACATCACTGTGACTCCAGCAGAATGGCCAGTGAAACTGAACCCACTGTAAAACTGTCTCGTTATGCAACGTGCTTCATGGGGAACATGCTACTACTTAAAACTGGAATCCTGAGGACCGCTTGAAGCTATCCTAACAAGATGAAGGCAACATTAGAGACAGCAGACAAAAGTACTGAGACACTGTATGTCAGTGCTTCGGATGAAAAGAAAGACCCCGGTTTTTCACACCTTCACGTTCCATTATAATGTTTGTACATTTTAAATAACCTTACACATGTCTATTTAGAAGGAGGAACACTGAATTTCACAAAGTTTTCCTTTAAGTGATGTGAAGAGTATGCTGGGATATGCATTTATTAGCAAAATTCACAGCTTTTACCACTTACCGTAAGTTGCTTTCATCCATGCAAAGAATGTAATCAAATGTTAGGAAATCATCTTTTGTAATCTAAAATTCAAAAGATATATTTAATTTTTAACTAAAGGAAAAAAAATAAGATTTATGAATAGTTAAAAATGCAATTGATTGCTATTTTAACAAGAAACAATGTTTTGCTATTTGATCAAGAATGCCATCTAGAAAGAAATAAAGATTCTAGTACAATACATAAAAACTGGTAACTACTGTCTTTTGGGCAAATATGTCCTCCAAACATCCACAACAAATAATTGAATATAGTTCCTAATCACAAGATCTTTATGAAAAGAAACTAACTGAAAACCCCCTTTAATGGTAATTACAGTGACATCTCAATTCAGTGGACTTTGATATAATGGACTTTATATCCAATAGATTTCCAATATGCAAATAAAGCCATTGATGGCTTTATGACACTATGTTTGCTAGAACCAGCTTTGCCCCATTACATTAGCCCATCCTGCTTCATTAGGCAGGGGAGATATATGACAGCCATCGCAAGTCAAAGAATTTAGTCTGGTGGGGTCTAGGAAGAAAGCCTTCTCTGCCGGTGCCCCTGCATTATGGAACACCTTGCCCACAGAGGCCAACCTCCATGCTCCTGGCCTTCCGCAAAGGGGTCAAAACATGGCTCTGTGGCCTTGTGTGGGGGGGAGCACAGAGGGCCATGCAACCATGGGGCTATCTGGCCCCATGAAAACAGCCTCCCTGCCTGTATTAACTAACGCTTCTTGGAGGATTGTGTGAGGCAGCTTCAGTAGGAAGGCTATGCCTCACGTAGGCTGGCCACGCTTATCAACAGCTGAAGAAAAACAAGTGATGTTAATTGTGATGCTTTGTACATGCTGTGGATCCCACAGCCAGCCAAAGCCTCCCTGGCTGTAATAGATTTGTATTCAATAGTTGACTAGGTAGGCAGCTGAGATGTGGGGGAGATCATGGGGGAGTTGCAGGCTCCTATGATCGTAACTGTAGGCAAGCTCCTGTGCCCAAATTTTGTTCACGCAACTGTCCTTTCATATAGCATCATCCTAAATTGAGAATTATCTGTATAAAGTACTTTGTATAAAGTAGAATATAATACAATATTCATGATTATATATTTTATACAATTTAAAATCTGAGATTTAAAAAATCTCATTTAAAAATTTTAAAATTCAATTTTTAAAAATCATTAACTTTTAATCTGTCCTGGATGTCATCTTATTCAGCATGTGTAAATCCAATAAAGACATGCCCAAATGTCCAAGCTGAGGAAATGGCCAATGGCCAATGATATTCTCAGTAAGGATCTGTAGCAAAATCCCACATTCAGAAGTGGATCAGGTTACAGTGTTATCAGTATCTATAGCTTCATTTTTACAAAAATGTTGCACTGATTATTCAATATATAATGCTTTATCCACCTTTGCACAGAACACAAAACAGTTGTGGCATGCAGGTATGCCCATGTTTTCTGAAAACACATGCACCCATGTTCACACACAGACACTTCTTTCTACCTGTCGTGCTTTATGAGCTGTTTCAATTTCATGATTTCCCAGACAGTTTAAAGCCCTTGGATCTGGATAGCGTCCCACATTCCAGTCAGAAACAGCACCACTGTCTATATTCCACTGCAAACAATAAGAACATAGGCAGACACACATTTAAAAAGAATATGGGTACAGTACCTGCCTGGCAATATGATTCATAGTTATGCCATGTTTTCTCATGCAATTCTGGCCTCGATAATCTGGAGAATTTCCTATTTCATATGTAGAAGTTGCTGCACTGTCTATCCTCCACTACAGAAAAACAAAGCAATTTATTTAAATAATGCTAGTATAAAAATGGCTTGAGTAATTAAAATGAAGCATACCTTGTTTTCAAGGTTTTCTTCAGTTACAAGTTTTCTAAAAACAGCTTCAGCTATGGGAGATCGGCAAATATTTCCTGTAGAAATAAAGATTCAGTCTAATGATTCTAAAATACAATTTAAATATATTGAAAAAATATACGTAGTCATGAGTCATATGTAGGCAGGTATGAGGAAGAAGAAAAGGACAAACTTTATCTCCTTTTAATATTTAATTAATTTATATAGTGCATTCAGAAAGTATTCAGATCTCCTTCAATTTTGGCAATTTTGTTGACAAAATTGCTGCAGCCTGGTTCTAAGTTTGCTGAAATTCATTTTTTTTCTCATTAATCTACACTCAGTATCCCATAATGACAAAGTGAAAACAGAATTCTAGAAATGTCTGTAAATTTATTAAAAAGAAAAAGCTGAAATATGACATTGGCATAAGTATTCACACCAGTGGTGGGATTCAACTGGTATTATGGTTCGTTGACTACGCTGCGCATGCGTGTAAAAGCACCTTTAGCTGTGCCGCCCAGACAGCTGAAAAGCGCTGCACGCAGGTGCGCAGTGTTTGGAAAGCCACTTTTTTCCTGCTTTTTCAACTTCAGCTGTGCCACAGAAAGCAGCTGAGGTTGAAAAAGCAGAAAATAAAGGACAGGTAAGAGCCCAGGCGGGCCGGTAGGCCAAAGAGCAGCAAACACAGAACTGGTTTGGTGTCTGCTGCTCTTCAGAGCTACCGGTTCTATAGAGCTGGGCAGAACCGGTAGCATCCCACCCCTGATTCACACCCTTTGTAACAACATTTGAAATTTAGCTCCTGTGCCTCCCATTTCTCTTGATAGTTGCTGACATGTTTCTACATCTTGATTGGAGTCCACCTTTGGCAAATTAAATTGACTGAACATGATTTGGCCTCACAGCTGACAATGTATACTATAGCAGAGCAAAAGCCATGAGGTCAAAGGAATTCCCCGCAGAGCTCAGAGGCAGGATTATTGCAAGGCACAGATCTGGGGAAGGCTACAATAAAATTTCTGCTGCACTGAAGGCTCCTAAGAGCACAATGGCCTCCATAATTCTCAAATGGAAAAAGTATGGCACAACCGGGACTCTTCCAAGAGTTGGTTGCCCAGTCAAACTGAGCAACTGGGGAGAAGGGTCTTAGTAAGAGCGGTGATCAAGAACCCAATGATCACTGTGACTGAGCACCAGAGATCCTGTGTGGAGATGAGACAAGAGTTCCAGAAGGACAACCATCACTGCAGTCCTCCACTGATCTGGGCTTTGCAGCAGAGTGGCTAGACAGAAGCCTCTCCTAAGTGCAAAACACATGAAAGCCTACTTGGGAATTAAAAAAAAAACATCTGAAGGACTCTTAGACTATGAGGAACAAGATTCTCTGGTCTGATGAAACCACGAATGAACTGTTTGGCTTCAATTCTAAACGTTTTGCCTGGAGGAAACCAGGCACTGCTCATCACCTGCCCAATATCATCCCAACAGTGAAGCATGGTGATGGCAGCATCATGCTGTTGGGGGTGTTTTTCAGCAGAAGAGACTCGGAGACTAGTCAGGGTTGAGGGAAAGCTGAACGGAGCAAAGTACAGGGATATCCTCAATGAAAACCTGTTCCACAGCACTCAGGACCTTGGAGTGGGTTGAAGGTTCATTTTCCAACATTACAACATTCCAAAGCACATAGCCAAGACAACACAGGAGTAGCTTAGGGACAAGTCTGTGAATGTCCTAGAATGGCCCAGCCAGACCCTGACTTGAACCTTATTGACCATCTCTGTAGGTCGCCATCTAACCTGATTTTGAGAGGATTTGCAAGGAAGAATGGCAGAATATCCCCCATTCCAGGTGTCACGTCATACCCAAAGATTCAAGTTATAATTGCTGCCAAAGGTGATTCAACAAAGTACGGAATTGTACTGTACTGTATTCTGTCCTACACTATCTGTTTTCTGTTTATAGAATTACTAGGACAGTACTTTTAAAATTAGTTAGATCTGGTTGTATTTAGTAGAGAATAGCTGCAACTAAAAAGGTGCCGATCAAATTTAATTCACTCACTGGGATCACACAGCACTTTAAACTATGAGTTATTTGCTGGTTTTATGACAAATTATTCAAGCTCACATTTGGCTAGCTAAATGTTATTACTTAGTGTATGGAATAAACCACTGGGGCTTATTCAATAAGTTATGATTACACATAATATAAACCAAACCATTGCTTAACTTATTTTCTGTTCTGTAAATATGCAAAGAGAAGTTAAACACACTATTTAGACAATTATTTGCATGTTCTTTAATGCAATTATCAGAAATTAAATGAGTCACGACTCTCCTGTCATGATGACATAACAGAAATTTGGGCCTTAACCTCTACAGATTATTCTGATAATAAATGTTATTGAATTTAACATGAACCTTGGTGTAATTATGCATAGGATTATAACTGTGTCTAATTTTCTGCAGATTACAGTAATAGATCACCAAAACCATGGTGTACCAACAAGACAAACTGAATAGAGAATATTTTAATAAAGTCTTCACAGTAAAGGTAAATATTTCAAGCAACACAATGGCAACTGAAATGGTCACTGGTAAATTCTTTCAGTGAGGGAACTGCACTCTAACAATCACAAATTTATAGTAATAAAGTCCCAGTAAGTAATTCTGAGTAGTGGTAGCTATAGCAAACCACAATCATGTCAAAATACTGACACATACTGTATATGGTAAGATCACCATGTAAATACTGTGATACTTGGGTCCCAGCATCTGATCCAAATATGTATGTCATAGCATTTGAAGGAGGATATCATAGCACATTTTATCACTTGCTTCCAATGACCCCCCCTCCACATGTTCATTAGTCTGAGTTGTGGATTAAAGACTTATCAGAATGCAGATGTCTGCCCACTCTTGCTTCACTTTTCCATGCATGTGAAGTTATATTTTAAGACACTTAAAAGAAGCATTTGTAAAGGTGATGAAACTAACATCTACCATGATTGCTAGTATTACCAAGAATCAGTTAAAAGTGTTAATATTGACTGAGGAACATTTATTCCCGTGATAGCGAACCTATGGCACACTAACTTACCTCACTGTACACGTACGTGCCTCACAGCTGATTTTCAGCAGGTTTGAGGCCTTTTTCGGACTCCCAGAGGCGTGAGGAAGGCTTCTGCAGGCTTTTCAGGCCGAAAACTAGGCCTGTTTCATCACTTCCTGTTTTTTTCAGAAATACTGGAAGTAACGAAACGGGCCTAGTTTTTGTCCTAAAAACCCTGCAGAAGCCTCTGGGAGGCTGAAAAAGGCCTCAAACCGGCCAAAAATCAGCTATGAGGCACAGTGCAGATAAGGGTGCAGGTGGGTGGGTGGGGATTGTGCATGCATGCGTCGGGGGCATGCACATTGCCTTCTGGGTGCTGGCACACGAGCGCAAGCGCATGCAGAATTTTTGGCACAGGAGCCCAAAAAGGTATCCACCACTGCTTTACTCTGTCAATCAATCTGCATATTAAGGTTTCTTTTTGTAGCAGTTATATGTGTGTGTGTGTGTGTGTGTGTGTGTGTGTGTGTGTGTGTGTATGTTTTCTTAAGTTTTCACGGGTACTTACATGTATGTTATTCAGCTTTGTTTGGGTATTTTCCCACATCATTATAGTTGTGCTTTTAAAGTTGTAGCAACGTTTTGGCAGAATCTCATCTGCCATCATCAGGCTTCAATACAGAAGCCTGATGATGGCAGATGAGATTCTGCCGAAACGTTGCTACAACTTTAAAAGCACAACTATAATGACTGGGAAAATACCTGAACAAAGCTGAATACCATACATGTAAGTACCATAAGAGTAATCATATCTGTAGGCATAAGTAAAAGTGCTTTTAGGAAGTACATATTAGGCATTTAAATTTTTTTTCTTTAAAGGACTGATTGGCATATCTTCTTTAAGAATTCCCATTTACAGCTGCCCCAAGTTTCAGTGCCTCATTTGTGAATGACAGGAGCCCCATTGGTACAAACCCAAACAAGAAATTGAGTTGATCTTTTAGAGAATTGTTTATATTATGAATGAAATCCTATTTGCTGTGTTTTTTTTTTTAAAAAAAATCTAAGTCACTTGTTTCAATTAATGAATGACTCGGGTCCTTCAAGTACATGTCATAGCGCCTTAGTGAAAGTCTGCCCTCTGCAGAAATGATGCACGCTCGCCAAAATAAAGTTTATCCTCCCGCCGTTACAGTTATATATCTTCGTGAATCAGAGGGCCGGTAAACTGAGTTTTAGGGTAAAAGAGCAGCCCTCCCTTCTGCTGCTGTAGTATAAATGTGTAAATGCCGATGCCAGAGATGCAGGCAAAAGATGCAACTCAGGAAAAATGCAAGGAAGGAGCGGCAAAGATGAGAGATGAGAAGTAAGGAATACGTGCAATTGAAAATAATAGTCCTTATCTGTCATTCTTGGGAACAGCGGGAAAAAGAGGGAAAGCAGTAAATTAAAATTCATTTAATTTTAATCTTTCCTATCTCGTCTCTTTATTGGTCCCTGTATCCCCTGTATAAAGGGAAAAACCAATAGCTAATTTGCCCCCCCTTTTTTTGCCAACCACCCCACCCCTCCCTAAAAAAAAAAAAAACACCGCCACTCACCCAGACATACGAATAAAACGGACTTCGCTTTATCTGCCGCCATGATAGCTCAAAACCCCCGAAAGGCAACGGGCGAAGGAAAAGCGGATTAAGCCGTTCCCCAAGTGACGTAAAACCTCCTTTCGCCGCTTTACGGCAACGGCCAGGTCCGTCTTCGTCCATTGCCTGCATATTAATTTAAAATGTCAGGACCAAAGACATTTGTGGCCTCTTTGGACAGGGAATACGTAGAATTTCAAACCAGGAGCCAAAGATATTGGCAAAATGTCCGTCAACCGGCGCGGTTTCCTTCGGTTGTTTTTTTTCCCCCTCTAAAAATCAGGCACTCGGGAAGTCAGCTATTCCCCCTCCCAAATGCACCTGCTTCAGGTGAGCAGCAGTAGCAGCAGTAGCCTGTGTCTTGCCCAGGCGAAGGGTTTCGGTGGGGATATGACTGCGTGCCTTTTCTCGCGTGGGTGAACGCGCGGCTTTTAAGTCAAGAGGAGCTTTTCCAACCAGGGACGCTCGGCAAAAGTGAGTAGATCTGGATGAGGCTGATCTGGGAAGGAGAGGGTTTCATATATTGGGATTTTGAGAAAGGTTGTGGGGTTAGCCCGGGAGGTCCGCGTCTGCCTTCATTTCTTCCTTACGTTGCACGGGTTGCCTTGATAGAAACCTGCTGTATTTGTATTTGGCTGTAATGAATATGTATTTGTATGTGTATTGGGCTTGCAATCAACGTGTGGGAAAGATAAATCTACACCTTCTAAAACGAAACGCTTTATATCTCCTTTGTAATCTTTGAGATTATACTAATGATGTGACTTCTTTATTTGATAAAGGCAGGATAAGAATCTAACAAACATATGTTTCAAGGACAGAGGCAAACATGACTGACACATACATGGTCTTTCCATGCAGCTTGCTGAGGGTTTATTTCAGGATGGGGATATGGTTTTGGTTTTGGTTTTTGACTTCCTAGTTTAGCCTATAGTATAGCCCTTATTTTTCCTGATACCATGCTTGAGCTATGAGTAAACCAGACAGAGCAAACCTGTGCTGCCACCTGCTGAGGTAAAATTATGTTTGGTTTATTATTGTTGTGATCAATGGGGTTGAAGGGCAGCCAGGCTGATTGATTTGATTTCCCCCCTCTGGTAATTTATGTGATTAAAAAAAAAGAAATTGTTGGGAAATAGTTTTATAGACATATACATGTAAAAGGAGAAAGCATCTATAGCATATTAGTGTGAAAAGATACTTATAGATCTTTGATTTTGGGATACTGTAAACTAATGCTGCTCTCCTAAATATGTAAAAAGAAGAACCATGAATGGAGTTTTATAATCAAAATGTAATTTTGGAAGCATCCAAGAGTTACTAGAATAAATTTTACAACTGAGTTGTAATCTAGGCCAGTATCTACTTTGTGCTAATGGGGTGGGGGGTGGGGATTGTCAGAAATTGTGGCAAAAGTAGTACCAAATGTACTACCCAAATAGTACCCAAGTAGTACCCAAAGTACTACTTTTCAGTAGTAACTGAAAACTTCTCACTTTATAATATTAACTGTCAATTCTCAACACACATCAGCAGTAAAAACTGTTCAAAAGAGGCAGTGAAATATCACAGTGGTTACATTGTGTATATAGTTAAGGCACCATGTTAGAAACTGAGTTGTTTTCCCACTTTAGGCATGAAAGACTGAAGGATGACCTTGGACCAATTATAGTGTTTTAGCTCAACCCATCTCAGCCTGTGGTTGTTGTATGGAAAATAGGAGAAAGGAATATGTTCATTGTCTTGAGTTATTTATAAAAATAAAGTGTGTGTGTGTAAATAAATGATCCATATTGACCCTACTTCTATTAATTGCTTTCAAAAAGAAGTAGTTATCCAAGCTATAAGTTAGGAGCTGTACAGGTATTACCTTCTGTAGTGTTGGACCCTGAAGTAGCCTTAAAAATTCTTATGGTTAGTTAATTGGATAAAGTGTTGAAAATCCAGATAGACAATAAGCCCTTGCTCCAATTTTTCTTTCCTCATTTGTTTCAGGCAATAAACGGAGGACAGACTAATAGAAACCAGAAGAACAGACTTTTTTTAAAAAAATGCCATGAAGTTCTTTAACTATTTCCCATTATAAGTTGCTGAATAGACAAAACTAAGGTGAACTGGGCATGGTGGGATTTCATATATCCTTGCCAAAAAGCAGGTCTGGAAGACCTCTTAATATCCTTTTTTAGTCTTCTCAGTCAGTTGAATATTGAAAAAAAGATTAAGAATAAGGGATTCAAGACACAGGTTATCTGCCTCTAAAAAGAATAAGGGAAAAAGGGAGAAAGAATAACTACATCTAAAAAGTGATTGGATCTGGATAAGGGTACTGCAGAGGGAGAAAATATACCCTAATGTATCCTTTTAGGAGAGACAGTTTAGAAGCAGATCAAAATCTAGAGAAGATTCCTCCATTCTTCAATTCTCCTTCCTGGTCACATGACCAAAAGGGTTGATGTTGTTAAGACACTTTCAAGTTTTCCAAGTTTACTTGTTTAGGCTCTAGACCAGGGGTGTCAAACACAAGGCCCGCGGGCCAAATCCGGCCCGCCAGACCTCGTCTGATGGCCCGCGGTGCTGCCGCCAGCCTTGCAGCCTCCCCCTTTTTTTTTTCAATGAATTTACTCCGTGCCTGCACGGAGTAAATTCATTTTAAAAAGGGCCCAGTTAAAAAAAAAAAAAAAAATTTACTTACCTTCCGGGACCTGGCCCGACTTCTTCCTGCCCCGCACTGCTCCCTGGGTGTCGGACGTGACGTCATCACGTGACGTCCGCCTGACATCTCCAGGGATCAGAGGAGCGCGCGGACGCCGCGGAGAGGAGCAAGAAGAAAGAAGTAAAAGAAAGAAAGAAGTAAAAGGTAAGTAAAGTAAATGGAGGGGGCAGATGGCTGGGCACTATAAAAGGGGGCAGTCCAACAGCAGCCTGAAAGCGAAGTTCCAGGATGCGACAGTCGACGACTTTTACCGTCTCCTCCCCCCTGCTTTGATGCCACAGCTCCGACTTCAAGCTGCACGTGTTCTGTCCATGTTTGGAAGCACTTATCTATGTGAACAGATGTTTTCAGTCATGAATCTGAACAAGACCAAGCTCAGATCACGCATCACTGATGATAACCTCCATGCTGTTTTGCGGATTGCTACAGCACAAGACCTAACGCCAAACATCGATGGACTGACCTTAGGAAAACGATGTCAGCCATCTAGTCAGTAAAGTTAAAAAAAAGGTAATGCCTTGTGTTTTCCATATGTTTAATAAACAGTGTTTGGCAATATTTGTATGTTTAAAAAAAAATTAATGTTTGTTACCAAAAAACATTTTTCAATACATTGTACAATAATTGTACATTTGAATATCTACTTGTCATTATTCTGACTATGTTTCTGCTTTCAGAGCTAGTTATTACTTACATTATTACAAAAAACAGTAATAATTGAATGCAGTGACATTAATTTATGATAATAAAGAGTGGACACATAGACCTACAGATACAACCGGCCCTTTGATGGGGACCAAACTGCTGATGCGGCCCCCGATGAATTTGAGTTTGACACCCCTGCTCTAGACATTTATCCATTTAAGCTGCAACTGTTGTTTATTATAAGAGCTATAACTCTTCACTCACACACTAGGAGACAGGTCCAACTCCACAACACTTAACTAAATTGTTATGTCACTTATGCTTTGACTATAGTCCTACATGAGGTTAATCTTGAAGATAGTTGAAGAGTTGAATTTAATTTAAAAATATTATTAGCCTTGGCAGGGTAAAACTCTGTCTCCAGATATCTAGCCTTTGTTTAGGAATTGGCTTATTAGCAGAAGACTCATGACTACAATGGAAAGATTTCATTAATTTATAGCAGGCAAGCAGGAAGCCATCTGTATACAATACATTTATCTACTGTAACACATAAAAATAAAAGCTCTTCTTTTTAAGTTTCTGGGTTTAAATGATTTTTCCTCCTGCCTTTCTAAGTTAATGGAAGCTATTAAAACTTATTTTTGTTCAAGTAACTTTTTTTCCTAATTAGGAAGCTGCTGGTAGCTTCAATTTTTTATAATTCTGTGGATATCTATGGAGATTCTCTAGGAGTGGGATACGACAGGGTTAACTACTCGTTCGGGATTTACGAGCTTCCCTGCAGGCTGTGAGCCACTGGCCTGTAAATAGTCATCAGCAGCTGCCTGCAGAGAAGCAGCCTTTGAAATGGCCCTCTTTTCTTGCTTTTTTAACTGAAGCTGTGCCTCGTTCGGCAGCTGAAAAATCAGGAAATAAAGATCAGGTAAGAGCCCGGGTAGGTGGGCAGGCAAAAACATCAGCAGCACATAGAATCGGTTCTATATCTGCTGCTCTTCAGAGCTACCGGTTCTACAGAGGTGGACAGAACTGGTAGAAACCCACCCCTGAGATTCTCAGTCATCCAGACCATGGTTGTCCCAAAGGTGCTTTTTTTCAAGAGGCAACTGGGCTTTCTGATTTTTCTTTGAAGACGTTTCACTTCTCATCCAAAAAGCTTCTTCAGCTCTTATCCAAGAAGCTTCTGGGATGAGAAGTGAAACGTCTTCAAAGAAAAACCAGAAAGTCCAGTTGCCTCCTGAAAAAAAGCATCTTTGGGACAATTCTGTGGATAATTTTAGCAGGGGATATCTATGAGTAGCATATCATTTATAATTGCACATGATTGCATTGGCTCCTATTTAAATTTTAGGATCAAAAATTTTAGGGTCATTGTTCCACTTATGACTGTTAAAGTCCTGAATATACTGTTGCGCTTGTAATATCTTTTGATTTCCTTCAGGTACTTAGATTGACTGGGAATTCCCACCCCCCACTCCCCCCAAAAATAGGTTAAAGAAGTTTCAAGTTATATCTTCCTTTAGAGCTGTATTGAATGTTTTGCTCAGGGAAAGCTATTCAGCAAGCTCCTTTTACCTTGGGTTGTTCACACAGGTGCAATAATTGTTCAAATGTTTTCCCCTTTTCTCTACTGTTTGATCTGCTTGAAGTAGAATATTACCACAGATGTGGACAAAATCTATTAATGTAAATACATTCACAGTAAAAATTAAAATTGAAACTCGGGAAAAATTGGATAAGGAAGTAGTAAGTCACTTGTTGCAAAGGACTGGTAGATGCATTGTAGCCCTGGAATAAGGTAATTTTTTTCCATTTTCTGCAGCATTTTATCCTATATTCCAATTATTTCAGATGATCCTCATCCTTTCATAGCATATGCCCAGAGAAATCATAACTGTGTTAGATGGAATGGATAAAACCCGGTACTTTAGTTCCTGACAGCAGAATTATTTAGCTGTGATTGAATGATAAATTTTATTAATACATTCAGTAAACTTTCAGATTCTAATAATCATCTTCAATATTAATTAGGAAATTTTTATGAATATCTCAAATAATCTAGCCTCCACCTCATTGTTGGTAAATATATAAATGAACTGCAATTCTAAAAAACGGACATGATCTTTTGATCACAGAGAAAGCAAAGCATAGAAGCATAGTGTTTCTAAGGCTATTCTCAAATGTTCTTTCTGCAACAAATGGGAACAGGATTATCAATAGAATGTAGGTAGAGAGAATTGCACAGTGCAGAAGGTGTGTGCTGCATTGGCTATACATTTAAATCAACAAATGTATGTTATTCGTTAAATAAAGATATGAAAATGGTATGTCAGCTTTGGGGTGTTTATTGTTATCTCTGGTGTTTCGTCATCTTTTTGAAAACAGCTGCAAAAGGAAGATTAGTGTTATCAACAACAGCAGAGAACTGAAAGAATATAGTAGTAGTTATGTAGTCCTCGAGTTCGGTGATGATTGGGGCTCAAATTTCCATTGCTAAAGAATGCAGTCATGAATGTGATATCACATGACTAGTGATGGCAATCCTAGCACTTCTTATTGTCATTAAGCAAGGATCACAGGTCATTAAGCAAGGGCGTCATATGAACACAGTGTGGGAAAGCTCATCCCAGACATGCAGGCCCGTGGGTGGAATAGGGTGCAGATTGGTAGGTGCCAAAAGGGTGGGCACCAAAGGGTATGGGTAGGCATGCACTACTGAGCTCAAGATCCCCATGTTACCCAGGGTTCCTCAGGAGAAAAAGCAGCAGGATTGCAAGTAACTTGCAACCTCCTACCAGCTTCCTCTTTGAAGTTTCTCTTTGACTTTGCTTATGAAAAATTAGCATGGAAGCTTAGACATGGTGATCACATGACCACGGGACACTGCAACCCTTATAATTGTGAGTGCCTGAAAAAGTGCCTGAATTGCAATCATAAGACTGCTGGAACACTGACAGTCACAACCTTGACCATCGGTTGTAAGTTCCACTTGTTCAGTGCCAATGTAACTCTGGTTGCTGAATGAGTGGTTTGTAACTTGAGGACTACTTATACTATGATGGTTCCAGAGGTGGTATTCAGCAGGTTCTGACCAGTTCTGGAGAACCAGTAAGTGGAAATTTTGAGTGGTTCGGAGAACCGGCAAATGCCACCTCTGACTGAAGATTTTACAGTATCCTTCCCCACACCCACCAAGCCATGCCCACAGAACCAGTAGTAAAAAATTTTGAATCCAACCACTGGATGGTTCATGGACTGTCTATTTTCTGTGGAGGTACTGCAAATGGTCAATGGGGAAAATGATATAATAGTTATATACTGTAATTTCCTGGACCTATTGTATATGATATATGACAGTACGTTATTATTTGCAGTATTTCATGGGCTGCCTCAGGTGTGAGGTGTGAACTCCCTCTTTACAACCCTGTAATCCCTTAATTCAGGGTAGAATCGGAGCAATTGGATGGATCTGAACATTTACTAGTCGGATACCCTTCCTGACGCCATGCAATATCACAGCAGCTATTTTTTTCTTTGCTCCCTAGGAGAGAAATATCTGCCACTACCTATAATTGAATTCTCAATCTTCCAAGTGGGAGGCATATGTCTTCACCATTAGGTCACCACATCGCACGCACTAGGCCACCACACCACTCAGAAGTCTGAAACTTCTATATATTATTTAAGTAAATTTAACTTATTTGATGCCAATTTGTAAGAGCAGTTTTATCTTATTTTTAATACTGTCAGTAGATTGCTTTTTTCTAATCATGTCTTGCACCATGTATTTGTTTAATTATATTCCAGGGCAAGAATTTCTGTGAGATGACATCTCCTTCTCTCTTTCCCTCCCTCCTTCCTTTATCTCTTTCATCTCTTTCTTAGTTTCTCAAATCCCATATTTTCCGAAACAGTGTATTCATACTGTACTGTAAATTAGAATTAAGTATGTGAAAATGTGACATGTGATCCCTTTGTTTGTATCAAATACTAATTGTAAATTCATTAAGACAAAATCTGGCCTTTTGCAATAAAAGGACAATAATATAAGAAAATGTTATTGAAATATTTCCACCTTTTTACCCTATTTCCATTTTTTGTCATTTATTAATTAAACTTGTGTAGCAGCCCATCTCACCAAAAGCAACTGGGTAGTACACAGGAATATTTGCCCTCTGATCAAATATTGGCACAAGGTGGCTGCAAGCTCTCTTACGAAATAGTACTTGCAGCTATTATAGATAGTGGAGCTTTTGAAATTGACGTTGCCTGGTCTAAAGACAACACAAATAAATGTTTGTTTTAATGTTTTAATGTTGAATTTGTTTAATATAAAAATTGGAACAAGTTGTATTTAAATTTTGTTTTGTTTTTTGATTAGAAGCCCCAAGGAGTCATACAATTTTGGCCGCATTTAAATGAAAAAATACATAATATATGCATATATGTAAAAGCATCTCTCTCTCTCTCTCTCTCCTCCCTTCCTCCCTCTCTCCCTCTCTCTCTCCTCTCTCTCTTTCTCTCTGAGAGAGAGAGAGAGAGAGAATATACAAATGCTTATTTCTACCTTGTTGCAGTCGTCTATTTATTAGTTACAAGTTCTTGAAAATATAACAGACCCTTAAATATTTTTAGAATTTAATGGGACCATTAAAATTTACAACAGAATTTCATTTGTTTCACTTGAATTCGTTTTATTAGAAAAAGGCTTCCCTTTTCAGAATAAACTCAATGAGTGATATTTGGTAACTATTAACTAAGTTTTCTTTAAAGTTTTTAATCTTTTGCAGCATTAAAGTATGGTTTCCTGTTCATTATCATCTTTCTCAAATTAATACCTGGGAAGTAAGCATTTCAAAATCATCAGCCAGTAAATTTCCTTGCTGAAACTGAACAACTGCTTTTGTATTTCCTGCCACATTTTTCTCTTGATAATTGGTAGACTCCAAGATCCCTCTCACAGTTACTGCTAGTGAGCCTGGTTTCACCCAGTCTATTTGTGTACTTTTGGTTTTTCTTGCCGAAGTGTAGGACTTGACTTTTCTCTACATTGAATTTTATTTTGTTAGATAAGGCCCAAATCACGCCAAACCAATGTTATTTTTTAAAACCAATGTTATTTTTTAAAACCAATGTTATTTTTTAAAACCAAAGTTATTTTTTAGAACCAATGTTTTTTTTTTAAATGTGATGAGCCAGAACAGCTTATCACGTTTTTAAAAATAACAGAAAAATGGAAAAAATAGGGGGAAAAGGATTAAAAACAATTAAAAACAATATAAAAGCCATACAACAGAATCTATAGCTGAGGTATTCCAATACTCATAAACAATAATACAATACTACACAGGCTATATGTATAGTATGTATGTATTTGATTTTTATCTCGCCTTTACTATTTTTTATACATAAGGCAGTGAATGTACCTAACTCTCCTCCCTTCTCCTATTTTCCTCACAACAACAACCTTGTGAGGTGGGTTGGGTTGAGAGAGACAGCGACTGGCTCGGGTTCTCCTATCTGGCTTTCATTCCTAAGGCGGGACTAGAACTCACCATCTCCTGGTGCCTTCACCGCACTAGCTCTCTTTACAACACATCCAGCTCCCCATGCCCAATGGTGAAATCACATTTTGAGGCCTTATGGGAAGCCAGCAAGTCAGTCTTATGATCTGTGAAAATGTCCTTGAGAGACAGGAGGTGGAGGTCCCTAACAGCAATCACAGAAGTGGCACCTGGGCTTTCAGAAACAATGTGGCGTGGCAGAGGCCTAAAAATGGACCCTCCCTAATTTCTTGGACTGTAAAGATGGGTTGGGGGGGGAGGGAGATGTACTTTTAGACCTGCAAGATTCTGTTACTGTAATTTTACAATAAATGTACTGCTAATAGTCATGGTTAACGCTTCCCTGTCTGGACTACTTCAAAGGCCTGAGAGTTAAGGCTAATCTGATCTTTCAGGAATGATGTTCCAAAGGGAGGGAGCCATGACATAAAAAAGTTTCTTTCTAGTCAGACAACATTCCCTAGCTGACAGGTTGCAAAACATACCCGTCCCAGATGAGCTGATGGGACCGGTGGGTGTGATTAGAAAGAGATTGTCACTCAGTTCCTCATCCCATGAGGGGCCAATGTTCTCCTGCCATTATGCAAATATTGAAGGAAATTGTGATAGCATCATGGAATATGACTAAACGAGAGAATTGTGGTTCAATCAAATCTTACAAATCATTGGGGGGGTGGATATGGTTTCGGCTTCTCTGCTAATGTTATACTCTTGTAATGTCCTCTTACGGTATATTCTTTTCCCCCCCTCTTGTAGTGAACAATCCCATACCTTCCAATTTGAAATCGGAAGCCAAAAAGGCAGCTAAGATTTTAAGAGAATTTACTGAAATAACCTCCAGAAATGGTCCTGACAAGCTCATACCTGGTAATGAGATTTTCATTTCTATGTGTTATGGAAATCTTGTTCTGCTTTGAGTTATGCTTTCCTCTCTGTTTTTTGAAGTACCTATAAAGCCTTGTCTTTGCCTGCTGAGTTTATTTGAAAAATTATTCTGTAAAGGCATGGATTCTGTATTTACATTGTGAAATGGATTATGAGCTTGTAAACATATGTTATTACATTTTAAGAGACCTGCTTTCTATAAAATGTAAGATAGCAGTTAGTAGCCAATGGCAGTGGCACTTGATCAAAAGGGGTTTTTAAAATGTTTTTGCAATCACAAAGTGTTTTCTTTCATATGGATTATAATAATAATATTTGAAATATTTTGAAATAATATTTTATGGCACATTTCCTTTCCTATTCCATTTACCCTTAGAAATAATGTATTCTAGAGGTCTAGATTAAAAGATAACTGTTCCCTGGCTGTCCTCAATGTTCAGCTGACATTCAGAATATTAATGATAACAGACCTCATTGCTTGTTCATGAAGCAAAATTTAGTCTTAAAATAAAAGAGAAAGCTCTACACAGCAGCAGTATTGTAATATTTTATACTATCAACTAAAACTTACAAATAAATAGACTTTAGAGTCTGCCCTTTTGTAGCCTTTTCTGCTTTAATTTTTTGTAATAGAAAACTACTTTTTGTCTTTTGAGAAAAATGTATTTCTTTTAAAGACTGACTTCAAGCATGACAGTTCTGAGATCTTATTTTTTTTCAGTTTTGATTCTGATACAGTAGTAATTTTCACTTTGGTAACAACATCTTAGGATGGGAATTTAGAGTTAAATTGGATTCAGTCAAACCATATAAAATAAACAAAGAAATGACTAATTTAATGGGATACTCTAATGGATCAATCTGAATCTAAATCTTATTTTTTTTTTCAATTAAATCAGAACCAAATCTCTCCAGTTTCTAAAGAGCTACAGTAATCAAGACAGCTCAACATAAACTGAAAACCCAAATCAGTGTAAAATGACAAGGAATCATTAAATTGAGTTGACAGTTCTTTCTCAAGAATGCTGTAATTATTAGGGCTCTAGTGCCTTAGATATGAAGCCAGAATGGTGATCCAGAGAAAACAGGGGCAAAAGAGTTGGCTCTACCTGCAATTGTTGAAAAAAAAAGACAGGTTTTCCTGAATTTTTGTGGCAGCCCCATGATCCTGGAAGAAAAGCAGCTTTTCTCAAGAATTTCAGTAGCTTTCTAAAGCAAAATTCCTCCATGCCTCCAGCATTCTCAGAGTTCTGTTTAATGAGGTTTGTTGAGATAGATTGTTACCAGAACTGAATTGTTTTCAGTTTAGAATCAGTCCAACCCCATGTTCCTTGATGTGAAGACCATCTAACTCTAAGAGTTTTCTAATGAAGAAGCAGAAAGGTTGGTCTCTTCACTGCTAACAGGAAGTCTGCAACTGGTTGTTAGCATAATAGCAGCATATTGTAATGGCATGTGGGAATGACACTGGGACACAGCCAGGACAACTGTCTGATAAAAGGCAGCTGGGCCTGCAGCAGGAATGTGGGTAGGGCTAGAGGCTCAGAAGAGACCCTCCCTGTTTTCTTGGGTAAAGGGGAAAGAGGGGGAGAGAACTGGTTTCAGACTTGGCAAGATTCTGTTAATGTAAACTTACCATAAAGAAATAACGAGAGTTAGTTCATCTGCTCATATTTCCTGTTTCGTCTACCTAGAAAGTGGGGCAGGCATTAACTATATAAGTTCATTTGCTAATATTATTTTTTAACGTACCTCTAATGTAATCTTTCATTGTGTTGTTGTTTATAGCCCATGTAATTGCCAAAGCAAAAGGCCTTGCAATCTTGTCTGTTATCAAAGCAGGATTTTTGGTAACAGCTCGAGGAGGCAGTGGGATAGTACTAGCTCGCCTGCCTAATGGAGGTAAATTTCTCTTTTCTAATTTAGTGCACCAGACAAACCTGCTCTTTCTTGCCTTCCTCTTAAGGACATTAATAGGATGGTTACATCTTTGCATCCCATGTGTCCATTTACTTTCATAATATGCCAAGCTAATGCATTTATGTTCCTTGTTGGATACAACTTAGTTGCCTTTGATACTGTCACACTTTCCTGTGTCCTTATCAGAAATACTCCTGACACAACAGTCTCTTTCTTTTGTGGATATGGAATTAGACTTAGAACTTAAAATAACTTTATCACTTTGAATGTATACTAGTCAGCATACATTGAAATGACATTTTGTTGCATACAGCTCTCAAAGGGTCACCACCTCCAATATAGCTTACGTAAACATGACAAAATAAACAAATACAAAATTATGCATATATCCACACATATTATATGACAGAGAGAATTCTACAACACAGTCTAGCTTGGATGTATACATATACATGGCAAGAAAAATGAATTTTGTGAATTTATTAGATAGGGAACAAAGTTTTGGACTTTGGTGAGGTGACTTTGCTTTCTACTATTTTTCATACTTAGACAAGCTTTGTTTCTTCAATTGTTCTCAATGGAACATCACTGCATTTTTCTTGAAAACTATGTCAATCATCTTGATTTTTACTGTATCAAAATTAAGCAGTCAGCATAGTCACAAGGTTTCTCTAAATTACCTTTATAGGCTGGTCTGCTCCTTCTGCCATAGGAATTGCTGGCCTTGGTGGTGGATTTGAAATAGGTATTGAGGTGAGTATTGAGTTGTGATGTTACATTGAATAGTTCTAAAAATGGCTAAAAAGATAAGTCTAGTAAATTGGACAACAATCTGAAATATTTGGTAATATTTTAAAAGTCATGCAATCTGTTAAACAGCAACAGTGAACCAAGTGAGAGTCATCCTTTATGATCAAAGGGAGCAGTTGTTTTCTGAGAAGATTTTAACTAGATTTAGATTTAACTAGATTTACTAGATTTAATAATGATCCAATAATGTTAAAGAGATTGCCTTTTCTGAAATCCCATTTTTTTTCCTAAGAGGTAATTTAAGTTATTAGCTCTCTGTGTTAATAAGATCTTAGCTGAGCATTCAATATTTTTGTTTTTACATTCATGTTCTTTCCATATTTATTTATATTTTCAAAACAACAATAATAATTCCATGTGAGTTTACTCTGCATTTATATATGTTATGCCCTGGAAGAATGAATATTTACAGTGGATAGCGGGTACATAGCCAGTAGTTTGCAAACTCATTTATCCAGTTATGCAGATATATTCTACTTTCTTTAAGAATTATATTCCAAGAATGAACATAGGAAAATAATGTATCAAAGTTTATGGGTTAAAAGAAGAGCAGGGTACTTCTATATGATGATTAATTGATTTGGCTCCAGGATCCTGAGGTGTTGATTCAAAACAGTTGTATTGCCCACATTTGTCTTGCAGTTGTCAATTATCAAAACCAAGCAATGAACTGGAGTAAATTGGTGGGGATGACACAACTATTCCTCTGGCTGTGCTTTATCCATCCAGTCTCCCACTCTTACTGTTTTCTGGAAGGAAATAAAAGCTATGTGAGTTGTATAAATCAGAACATTAGAAAGTGAAGCTTCTTGCTCAGACGTTTTGCTGAGTTGAAGAATCATGCCAATATAATAACAGAATAAAATAATAAAATAACAGAATAGGAAGGGACGTTGGACCTTCTAGTCCAACCCCCTGCTCAACCAGGAAACTCTATATAATTTTAGATAAATTGTTGTCCACAACTTCTGGAAGCAAGTCATTCCATTGATTAATTGTTCTAACTGTCAGGAAATGTCTCCTTAGTTCTAGGTTGATTCTCCCCTTGATTAGTTTCCATCCATTTCTTCTTGTCCTACCTTCGGGTGCTTTAGATAATTGGTTGAAACCGCTGCTGCCCCCTCTTCTTTGTGGCAGCCCCTCAAATATTGGAACACTGCTCTCAGATTACCCCTAGTCCTTTTCAATTCCTGCAGCCATTCTTCATATATTTTAGCCTCCATACCCCTAATCATTTTTGTTGCTCTTCTTTGCATTCTTTCTGGAGTCTCAACATCTTTTTTATGTTGTGGTGACCAAAACTGAATACAATTTTCCAAGTATGGCCTTAGCAAGGCACTATAAATTGATACTAACACTTCATGTGATCTTGATTCTATCCCTATGTTAATGCGGCCTAGAATTGCATTGGCTCTTTTGGCAGCTGCAGCACCCTGTTCGCTCATATTTAAGTGTCTGTCCACGAGGACTCCAAGATTCCTCTCATAGTTATTGCTGTTGAGCCAGTTAGCCAGGTTGACTTGGTGGAAAATAGCCTTTGACACATGAGCCTTCAGCTATATCCCATTAGAAATGATGTGTGTGGCCTTTTCAAACATTCATATAGTTTATAGAATGGTAATACAATTTCACAGCAACTAACTAGTCACATGGCAAATCCTGCATCTACAATAGATCATTATAGGGCATATGATTTCTCTGGTTTGATAAATAATGAGGGTTTCAGCAGGTTTGCTCAAGTATGCTTCTTAGCCTAATAATTCTTCCCTTTTTTTCCCTCCGAGATTTTGTTGTTGTTGTTGTTATTTTCAAAGTCAACCTAATCACTCCCTTTCACTCAAAGAAATGCTGCTTTTCTGCAGCAATGTTTGGGAATTGCATTTAATTCCATTTTGGTTGTGTCAAGGCAAGTGAAGACAACATTCAGACAAGTTCAAAATGAGTGTTTATATTTCAGTCCCTAATAAAGAGTTTGTCTTCCTTTAATTTACCATGAGATGATAGCCATGTAAGTTACTTCATTGATCCTAGGGAATTATCAAACCACACTGAGAAAGAGTTCAAGAAATCTCTCTCCCTCTGTCTCTCTCACACACAGTGGTTTTGTTATTACATTACACTAAGGTGGAGATGATCAGTCTGACCTAGTTCCCTCACCTATTGCCCCAGTTATGATTGATAGCTGAGAATATCAGTCACAACTGCCAAAGCTCATGATATTCCACTACAAAATCACAAAAAATTAATTTAAGATTGCTGAAATCTCATGAATTCTTATATTTTTAACATTTAAAAAATAGCCTCATATGTGCCTGTAATGTATCTTGACAAACAACCACAGGCATTATAGTGTTTACCTTTGCACTAAGCCAAGATTTTTTGAACAACCCATGGTTTGGTTCTGGAAAAAGACTAACATTCAATTCTTTCTTTTCTCTCCTCTTCCATCCCCAAACTGCTGCCAACAGGTATCAGATCTTGTAATAATATTGAACCATGAAAGAGCAGTTGAAGCTTTTGCAAAAGGTGGAAATCTTACTCTGGGAGGAAATTTCACGGTGGCAATTGGACCTTTAGGGAGGTAAGTATCATTAATATCCTGTAAAGTCAGAGTGCCTGAAACTCTTTCTGTGCTCCTTATTTAATTGTTTCCTGAAAATTGAAAATTGTACTGTTCTTCTTACGCTTGGAGAGTCATTCAGTCGAAACATGTAATACCACTTCCCTGGCTCTTGTACCAATTCCCAGCCCCTGAGGGAATTCACCTGAATTAATGTTTCTCCATGTCAGAACAATTTGCGTGCAAAAGGGTACAGAATAAGGCAGTTACAACCTTTTCATGCTCTGGACTCAAAATACTAACTAATGAGTACCTGAAGGCCCATCAAGTGCTTCTTTTTATCTGTATGCATTACTAATATTTCTCTTCTATTCCCCTTCTTTTTTTCTTTTTTTGGGGTAGTGGTTGAGGCACTAGGCTAGCTGACTACGTTTTCTAGTCTTGCCCTAAGCATGAAAGCTGGCTGGTTGACTTTGGTCCAGTCACTCTCAGCCCAACCCCCTTACAGGATTGTTGTAGTGAGGAAAATAGGAGGAGGAAGGAGTATTAAGTATGTTCTTTGCCTTGAGTTACTTATAAAGTAATAAAGGTGGAATAAAAATCTAGTGAATAAAAGATGTACATGAACTTATTTTGGCTTACTTTCTACAAGTTCTAGACTTGGTTATCAAACAGTAGTTCAAGGTTGTTGGGATTTTTTCAGATCTTTGGCAGTATCTCTTCTAATAGATGATTGTGATGTGTTTTAAAACAGCAAAATATTTTAAGAAGGAACCTAAAAGGAAGTAACTTGTATACAAAGTTTATTTTGGAATGATAACATGACTTGGATAGAATTTCACTGAAGGCAAATCTTTCAGTAATAAACATTCTGCAAAACGCTTGCATGTTTGCCTCACGTACCACCTTTCTTGAAGCAATGACAAGTTTGGCAGAGATTTTACATGTGTCATTCCTTGAATGCTTAAAATTGCCCATACCGCCACATTTTATACCAGCTGAGGCTTCTGGATACTTTTCAAGGATAGCCCCATGTAGAGCACATTACAGCACTCCAAACAGCAGATGACCAGAGCATGAGGCCTAGCGGAGAAATTCCTTAACCAGAAAAGGGCATAACTGTCACACAACACAAAATTGAGCAATAGTGAAATTAAAAGTTCAATAAGGTTTAATATATATGTTGATATTAGTGAGGAGAAAATTTGTTTCATACTTCTGCCCTGTTACAATCAGTCTCTCAGTCACCCACCGAGATTTTAAAATAACCACCATTAGCTTAAATCCAGTCTGAATAATAACGATAGCAACAATAACCATGTCAAAACCCATGGAAAAACACAGAAAATGGTAAGAAAGCAGCTGTAAATTTAAGGCAGCTTCTCTGAAACAATTCAGCTTTTAACATTTGCTGGAAGAGCAGAGAATTATTGACTCAGCATTTTAGTGCCGTGATAGCTTTTAACTAGGGTTTTTCCAATTAACTACTTCCATTATATCTAATTATAAGTTTCAATTAACAGTTTACTAGAAAAACAAGCCTTCCTTGAGTTAAGTTCAATTCCAATCATTGTCATGATTGTGCAGATTTCACAATAGCAATAGGAGAGTGGTTTTGCGTTGCCTTCTTTTAGAAGTTTTTTTTTCAACTTCCTAATCTAGCCTAAAGTGCTGAGATTTCCTTTTGGTGTCCCATCCATTTGCTGATCAGAAAGCCAAGCTTGACAAGGTGTTGTCATGTACCGAGGCAGTAGTTTATTGCTATTGGTGCCACTGTCCAGCAGTCTAATTCAGATGGAGAAAGGGGAAAGGAAGTTTAAGCACTGGTCCCCAAGTATAGAAAATACAGTATATATGAATACGACTGGAAATATGAAATATTTCTAGCAGGACCAGCAGATTCTGTAACAGCTGTGTTCCCTATGCCATCTACCTGGTAAAATTGCAAGATTCGTTTTGCTCCCCATATGTACGTACGTATGTATGTATACATCTCAACTGGACTGTGTTGTTTCTCTGTGCCTTATATGTGGCTATATCCATAATTTTATATTTATTTATTTTGTCATGTTTATATAATGTATATTGGAGGTGGTGACCCTTTGAGAGCTATACACAATGAAATTTCATTTTAATGTATGCCGATTGGTGTACATTCAAAGTGACAAAAAAGTTTATTGTATTCTATTCATAATATTTTCCACCTTTCTTAGAAATCTAGAAGGGGATGTGGCACTGCGGAGCTCTGCTGCTGTGTATACCTATTGCAAATCTCGAGGACTATTTGCTGGAGTCTCTTTGGAAGGAACTTGCTTAATTGAAAGAAAAGAAACCAACAGCAAGTATGTTCAAATGAATAGCCCAATGTGCTTAGTTCAACATTTACATTCTGTGGTGTAAAAAAAACCACAATACAAACAAAAGTGTTTTGTTTTTTAAAAGTAATCTCTTGAAAATGCGGCATGTGGTTTATATGAAATAACAGGAGGAAATGTTAAATTCAGCTGTCAGCATCTTTAAATTGGATTAGCTTTGCATTTATGACAAGGAATATTGATAAAATGACAAAGATGATCTTGAGATGTTTATTAAACAGATGTTTATTAAACATTTTGTCATCAAAATGCAGCATGAAATGCTTTTGCTGGGAGAAATTACTAAAGGATTATAGTTTGTGGAAAGCCTGGTTACTTAATCATGAAATACTGGGCATCTTGTTTTATGTACGCTTCTGGCATACATATAAATGTTTGAAGGTTTTGTTTATGTACATTCTTCCAAGACTTTGTATATTTATGGGAGGAACTCCAACTAATGTAGATCATGAATGCACAGATATTGGAACATCCTGAAAGAGGCCATGGCTCAAACCTGAACACTCAGTACAACAGCCAGATCCCACTTATTGCCACATGCAGGTTTCATATTTAGTTAGTATGCGATGAAAGAAATTAAACTAAAACAGGTTACTAGGAACATGAAGTGTTTTTCCCGCCCGCCTCTAACTTTGTAAACCGCCCGGAGTTCCTGAGAGTGAGTTGACAGCCATATAAATTTTCTTAAAGAAATAAATAAAACTTTGTGGACTAACATAAAGGATTTTTGTCTGCTTGTTTTTAGGTTCTATGGCCGAGATATTCGTGCCAGTGCCATTCTGTTTGGTGATATTTCCCCTCCTCTTCAGGCACAAGATCTTTATGATATCCTTGAGTCTTTTACTCTTCAATATGAAGTTGAGGAAGGGAGAAGCTATAGTACTGCACCAGTGGCCAAAGAACCAAGAAAGGTCTGAATTAACCTGCTTCATGCCTGCTTAGTTCCTTCTTATGATGTATGTTTTCCGGACTTCTAACCATGTATTGTTTCAGTTGAACGAGGGCAAGGAAATCTACCTCCTGTCAGTAGTATCATGACAAAAGTCCTGAAAAGTGCTCTTAGTGATTTATACCTGCAAATGTAAAAAAAGGAAAAGGTCTTTCTTAAATTAACTGCCATTTCCCCCACCCCACCCCCATTCCTAACTAGGACAGCAGAGATTTTAAATTGTTTGGCATATAATCTGAAGCGGCTCCTTCTCTATTGTCTGTGTGGATTCTCAATCATCCAGGTGATGGTTGTCCCAAAGGTGCTTTTTTCTTTGTTTTTCCTCGAAGAAGTTTGCTTCTTGGGTAAGAAGCGAAAGGTCCTCAAAGAAAAACAAAGAAAGTCCAGTTGTTCCCTTGAAAAAATGAATATAAAGATAAAACCAGAAACTTTTCTTTTAGGCTTAATGGAAAAAGACTTGGAAAAACAATTTGGAAGTTTGATGTTATATATGTTGATGGCAGATATGCACAAAAATGAAAGGACATTTCGACGAATGGCTGCAAAAGTTGACAGAGATGGCTAAATTGACTGCCTTGGTTAAAGAAAAATTTCTACATGGAAACTGCTTCTAGTCTTGGTGTTTGAAGTGGGAAAAAAAATGAAACGTTGATGTTGATTTGTTACGATAGATTTGTTGTTGTAGAAATGGCTAGTTTATACTATTATGGAAAAGTTAAAAAGTTGAGGTTTGATGTTAGTATCTTATTCTACTGCACCAGAGGGAGTCGGAAGTCGTGTTCTTTTTCCTCTTCTTTCCTACACTTTTCTCTATCCCCTTTCCCTTCCCTTTGTTCCCTACTATTCGCTTTTGTAGCACCTTTGGGGCATCCTGGTCTATTCTATTTAATCCCCCAGAGAAAGTAAACATGTGAAAATAGAAGGCAGGTACTCTTGAGTGACCAGTGTTTTCAATAGTGCATGAAAACTGTAAAGATACTCCAATGCTGTGCTCTCTGTTCAGTTCCAGCTGGTAGCTATGATTGCTCTGTTTTGCATTAACAAGGCAGCCCCTTGTTTGGATGTGTTACAGTGGACTCAAAGACTTGTTATTAGTGCATCGATAATGAAGTGTAAGCTACCTCAGTTGAGGAGCTGTAAGTAACATGTGAAGTGGTAGAGAGCCACTCTTGATATCCAGGCCTCCAGAGAAAGAGCCAGATTTAACAATATAGTATCCATAAAGTGTATACTTTTTTAGGCCGGAGTCAGACTCATGCAGAATTAGCCAATCACAGACTAAAATAATTACTAATAGAAAGTGTGTGCATATTCTAAAAATTATTCCATATCTTTCTTTTCCCACATACTTAGCCAACAGTCATATTCGCTAGGAAATTATGACAGTTGTAATCCAGTATGTTTATAAGGTATTAGGAAACTGCTGTATATTGATAATAAGGGTTTTCGCTGTTTCCTTTCCTGACAGAATTATGTAAAGCAACAGCCAAGTAGAACACCACAGAACATTCCACCAGAAGGTAATGTATAATTTGCAATATTGATGATTTTTTTTTCAATAAAAAAACAAGTAGCGCACTTTGTGCAAGGTGACACAGAAGGTCCAGCCCTTTCTTGTCCTTTTGGTAGATAGACCAATTACCTCAGATATGAACAAAATCAAACTTTTTTTCAAAGAAAAATATAAAACATTAAAAATAACTTTTAACTTTAAATATTAAAATGCAGACATTCACTTATGGAGAAGTTCTACTACAGAGCCATCCAAATCACATAACTGTCAACTTAATGAAGAAATGTAGTCTTCTAGATAGCACTGGTCTGCTCCTAATAAAAAATAATCTGGAGAAAAACTGTTCTCAGTTTTTCAGAGAGTTATTACAAACCACAAACAGATTCTAAGGAAAACGTGCTATCTATATTTGAACCCACCCTGAATGATAGATAATGGCTGAAGATATATGTAATTCCCAGCTTTTGCAGAGAAAAAAAACTCGAGGTTTGGGGCCACATAGAAAGCAGAAATCAAATCTATAGTAGTGCAACATCCTTGCTAAACATCTTAACAATTCCTGCAGAAACAGAAGAGTCTTGAGAAATAATATTTTCTCTGCTCCAGTTACCTGGCCTTCCATTTTTTTCCTGAGGAAAGTTTAATCAGAAGCTGTGGGGAAAGAATTATAGTGCTCTGCTTTTCTCAGTCTTCTTTCTGACCTTTGACTGTTCTTTTTAAAATGATCAAACCTTTTGACATAGAGAGAGAGGGGTTGGAGTAATCTGATTCTGTATGTGGAGAAAAGTCCTGCCTGGATGCATAGTGAATGTCTGAAACAGTGATATGTATTGTGACTAAGGCTACTTTTAGATAATATGGCAAGGGTAAGGTTGACCAAAGAATGCAAGAACTTTTAGCAGATAAAAGAGTAAATGACATCTATAGAGCCAGTTTGGTGCACAAGTAGTGCTCAGGTTAATGATGGCAATTGAGACTGCAATTTCCTTTGCCAAGTGATAGGGTCATAAAGTGCAATTTTACAGAAACACATCACATCATATGTTGTCACAAAAAGGACGCTTCCTGACAACATTTCATGGTTGAACTGCCATTCTTTAACAACACTGTAATGCTTTCACTTATTTTTCCTTGGTTCAAAGTGACATTGTATTATGTTCTGTTATTGAGTCGAGTTCCAATAGACCTTGTGATATCTGATGGTCTCAACTCAAAAGGCTGCTAGGCAAACAGTGGCAATCAAGATACATTCATAACACTAAAAGAAAAATGCAAATACACGTAGCACCATTAAAAAAAAATAAACTTCTTAATAAAGCACAGCTATTTTAAAAAGAAAAAAAAATCAGGGCAGTGAGCCTGGAAATGATGTTATAAATGAAGCAACTCCAAAATTTGACAGTGTTCTTCCTTGTCCTGTGATCAAACAAAGACAAATTAAATCAAACCTCTTTAACACAAGGGTTGTTTAAAACAGTTTAAAACAATATTTAAGTAGTGACTAACTTTCCACATTCATACAATAGAATAATAGAGGACTTTTGAGTCAGTCAGTAGAACATTCATTGCATTTTTTCCATTTTAATCTATGCCTATTTCAGTAATGTCTTTCCGTCAGGAGTTAAGCATGTTAAAGCGTGTTTTAACATACGCTCTAATTCTGCCTCTTCATTATTATCTTTGTTTTTTACTTTGTAATTAAAAACTTTAGAGGGAGAGTATAAACAGACAAAACATGTAAAAAGAGTAAAATAAAATGTAAATAGTAACATACAAATAAAGGATCTATAGTGTCATGAGGATTACTAGTATATAATTAATTACTTATGAATTATAAAATAGATGATTTACAAAACTAGGAATTTCTATTAAGAGTATTTAACTAAGTTCATTGTAAATACAGTATAAATCACAAACTGAAATTATACTATAATACATTGAATTAAATCTGATTATTTTTTTTCTTACGCTGATCTGGTTGAGGACAGCAAAGATTATTTTCTTCGTGGTACATTAAATGTTCCAATTTCACCCTCATCAATTTTCCATTATTTATATTACATATTTTCAAAGAAAATGTCAATTTCTTCCCATAATCTTTTTAAACTTCTGCTTTGTGAAGGCATAATGTGTCCTATCAAATAATCACCATCACCTATTAAGACTGGGCTTTCTCTTCTGTTGCTTTATGAATTCTCTCTCGTGGTAAGCTAATATTTAGTGTCCTCTCTTTGTTTTCTTAATACTGTAGTTCCTGACTGTCTTGGGCCAGTAGTTTTAGCTTTGTAATAGGAAAGGAAGTCATATATAGGATGTGTTAACTAACATAGTAATGTTCTGAATCTTCTATAGCTCCAAGAACATCAAACAGACTTTATCCTGAGCTTCCCAAGAGCTACACTGCAATAGGTGAGTATTTAAAATATTATAAGCCATAATAGTCAGTCAGAGAATTATAGAACTCAAGAAATTGTAGGAATAGAAGTAAATGAAAGCTTTTGTGATATTGGTCCACTTCTCCACATATGAACTCAGAAAGGTCCGCAGAATTTTACAACACTCATACAAAAGAGATGCAGTTTCTGCTGCAATGTTGTGATGCCTGTTTTGTCATTTGTTCTTGCTTGTTTTACCTACAGATGCCCATTTAGAAATTTATTCCAGGTTACAATTTAAGTATGATTTATGAGATTGGGATACAATATTTAAGGGGGAGATTAAACTGTTAAAAACATACAGCTTTTGGTAACACATGGACACACATATTGGTTACAGTTATTTAGAATCTCAGCAGTTTTGGCCTACCAGAATAGAACAAGTAGAAAAAATAACTACTATCTATCACAGTGTTTCTGAACCTTAAAGTTAGCCACTTTTAGAAGTATGGACTTCAAGTTCCAGAATTCCCCAGCTAGCATGGCTTTCAGAGGAATTCTGAGAGTTGAAGTCCACACATCTTAAAGTGGCCAAGGTTGAGAAATATTGGTCTATAGAATGGAAAATACCAATAATCCAAAGTTCTTCAAACTTCTAATTTAGTGTTCTTTTGCTCACATGACCAAAACAGCCAAATTATTGGGTCCTGGACTGGCAAGGCAGTCTAGCCTTGTTGAAAAAGAAAGTTGTGTAAACTGATGAAGTATTTGTACTGTTTTATAAAGGTACTAATTTAGTAAGGCCACACCTGGAATACTGCATCCAGTTTTGGTCATCACATTTCCAAAAAGATGTTGAGACTTGGGAAAAAGTACAAAGAAGAGCAACTAAGATGACTAGGGGCCTAGAGACAAAAACATTTGAAGAATGGATGCAGGAATTGGGAATGGCTAGTCTAGAGAAAAGAAAGACTAGGCGTGACATGACAGCAGTATTACAGTATTTGAGGGGACGCCACAAAGTGAAGGGGGTCAATTTATTTTCCAAAGCACCAGTGGGCAGGACAAAAAATAATGGACAGAAACTAATCAAGGAGAGAAGCAACCTGGAATTAAGGAGAAACTTACTAACTGTGAGGACAATTAACCAGTGGAACAGTTCGCCTTCAGAAGTTGTGGGTGCTTCATCACTGGAGGTTTTTAAGAAAAGACTTGACAGCCACTTGTTTGAAATAGTATAGGGTGTCCTGCATGAGCAGAGGTCTGGATTAGAAGACCTCCAGCTCTGTTCTGATTGATTGATGTTTAATGCAATCATATTCCTTTTTCAGCTTGAATACGGACTATTGCTCACTACATTCTGTACAGGCATGACCTACAAATGGGTGTGTATGTGTGCATATGTGTGTTCCTTATTGGCGCAGTGGAAAATAGGTTGGGAAAATCAGAAAGTGGATGTTTCTATGTAAATAAAACATCATGGTACATTTTCTACTGTGCTCAGGGCTGTTTTCAGAAGGTGGAGAGCAAATCAAATCTTTATTATGGTCATAGACCAGGGTAAACAAATAGAGCGAAATCTGGATTGTATTCCCCTTCTACGTTTTGCCTATCATTCCTCCATTCTTCTCTCCCCTCTACCCAAAAAGTAAATGGGAAGGAACAAATTCTCATTTTACATATTCTTATTCATCCTGATTCTAGAAAACCTGCTTGGTAAACTTTTTTGGCCAAAGTTCTCCAATCCTGGAGCATACAAATTACATTAGTTTGAAGCACCACATCCAACACCTCTGGTCCCAGCATTTTTTTCTCATTACTGCTATTATTTTCTCCTCCACTCCAGAAGAACTTGATTCTCAGGATGTGGTGTCTGGCTAAAAGAAGCTTAAAGCAACAGAATTAGTGGTGTGTGTGTTTGTGTGCGTGTGTGAGAGAGAGAGAGGGAGGGAGAGGGAGGGAGGGAGGGAGGGAAGGAGGGAGTGGGAGTGGGGGTGAATGGCATGGCGTGACGTGGCGTGACGTGGCGTGGAATGGAATGGAATGGAGAAATAACAGAATAGAATAGGACTATAGGATTTCTTCCACTTGTTAACTGGCTAGTTGCTAATGCAGTAAACTTTTGCAAATGTCTTTTCCAAGTGAGAAATTTCAATACTTCGTATGTGGTTTATTTAATTTATACAGCTGCCCAGCTCAGCCAAGTGACTTTATGCCTTGGTTCTCCCAATCTGTTGCTGCCAGGACATAAACACTAAACAGAATAGTAAACATTGTCAGCCTTTTATAAGTGCTGCAAAAATTATTTACTTCCTTCTGGATGAAATTATCCTGTTCAGAGCTTGGTAGAGGTATAACATTTTGTCTAAGGTATACTTTGGAGATAATGCAAGTTCAGTTCCAGACCACTGCAATAAAGCAAATAGCGACTCATAAGATTTGTTTGGTTTCACATTGCATATAACATTTATGTTTATACTGCACTTTAGTTTCTTTAAGTGTGCAATAGTTATGTCTAAAAACCCACAATGTACATACCTTAATTAAAAATACTTTGTTGTTAAAAAATGCTAAATCTGAGCCTTTGGCAAGTCATAATCTTTTGCTGGGTGGAGTGTCTTGTAAAGAAAACCTGCAATACCTGTGAAGTGCAATAAAGAAAAGCACAATAAAATAAGATATGCCTGTATTGCAGCCAAGGACATGGATATAAATGTGTCCTATTAGATATTATTCAGTCAGTTAATGATGGGCTTAATTCCTTTGGTCAGAGAAAGCAAAGGACTGCCTTCTGAACTACAGTAGTTTGTTTTGTGTAGAAACACATAAAATTGATTTTGTTCTTTAACTTCACTGTCCTTGCAAGCATTTTATGCCTTTAAAGAACTTTTAGAGACATTGCATGTTTATTCTAAAATTTAAATAACTCTAGTTTGGCTATTTGTTAGAGTCAGGATATGATAAACAGCAAGGATCTGTTTGTTTAAAACCTGGCACATTTAAAGGGACATTGTTTTCCATTAAACAGGTTTATTATCCAAAGACATCACTGATAGTAACTAGGGCTCCTTAGTTGTTGAGTTACTTTTCCAGAAACCTAATATACATATAGTATATAGCAGTGGTCACCAACCAGTGGGCTGGGGACCACTGGTGGTCTGCGAGAAAATGTTGGTGGTCCGCAGAGAAATGTGTCCCTCCCAAAGCACTCCCCTCAAAGCAATCCAGGCTGCAAAGGAACACAAGGCTGTGTTGCCCACATGGCCTGCCCACTCACTGGCCCCCAGCCTTCAGCTGAGCGCAAACCTTACCTTGAGTAGAGCCATGTGAGCTGGAACTGGAAGGTAAAACCAACGGTGGGGGAGGGAAATCCACCCCGGGGTGGCTTGCTGACATTGGTGGGAAAGTCGGTCCCATATTCCAGAGCTGCAGTAATCACAGGACTGGCCCTTTGGTCATCCCAGAGCAGCTCCTCTAGTCCATGGCAGGCCGGTGCACCCAGGTGGAGGAGCAGCTGCTCCAGGATGACCAAAGGGCCAGTCCTGTGACTACTGCAGCTCTGGAATATGGGACCGACTTAGCCACCATCAATCAAAATTCATATTAGTGTAACAAAACAAAATTTAAAACTTGAACCCGAAACCTTTCTGCTAAGTATGATAGATTCAAACATGGAGAAAAAATATCAATATTTAATTTTGCATATCATAACTGCGGCTAGAATAACCTACGCACAAAACTGGAAACTGTCTTCCATTCCTTCAGAGGATATGGTAATTAAAAAAATACATGAATGCGCTGAGATGGATAGCCTAACCAAACTGTTAAAAAATAAACAAGATAGTGACTATTATGAAATATGGAACATTTGGTAGGAGTGGTTAAAAAAAGGTAATATTTGATATTTGGATAAGTTATGGAAATGACAGAAGATGTGTATTTAATCACAAACTACAGTATATAGAAAAATTAAAACATTAAAAGAACGAAGGAGTTATTGTAACAAGGCAGATCACGTCAATAATAAAGATAAAGAAAAAAAAATTAACCATTGCTCAATATATGCTGTAAAATGTATGTGTGTGTGTGTGTGTGTGTGTTGATTTGTCTGTTTTAAATGTATGTCAAATAAATGTTTTTTCTAGAATAAAACAAAAAACCCCACAAAATTCATATTAGTGGTCCACGGGATTTAGAATTATGAGTTTGATGGTCCCTGAGGTCCGAAAGGTTGGCGACCCCTGGTATATAGTACACTACAGTATACATGCATATGTATATCTAGGCACCTTAACATATGTATACCGAGGTGCTGAGCAAATGCTAGCTCTTCGTTTATTTCACCTGGAATCGGAGATCAGCATATTCATTCTATACAGTAGTGGTAATCATATTAAACGTTTCTATAGTATATTTATTTATTTAGCATATGGCATATCATACATGAACTAGCAATATGAATTAACATTTCAACTAGATTAGTAGAACCCAATAAAATATAAATGTCAAAGAGATCTATGTTCAAATATCAATGTCTAGGCCATCTAGCCATTGAAACTTAGCATTGTTTAATTTTTTTAAGAAAAATCAGAAAGTGGAGTGGTATATGGCTTATAGCCAGTCATGATGTGATCAACAGTTTGACGTGGGACCCCGCAGTCTCACTGAGGGGAGGATACTGTGCCCCATTTATACAGAGAGTCCTGGGAGATGCCATGTGAGGTGTGAATCCTATTCAAGATAGTCCATTGCTGACATGGTAGTTCAAAGCTTGGCACCTTTTTTGTGGGGTCATTTATATGTCTCCTTATAACTGGGAATTCAATGACCCATTTGGCTTTCCATTGGGAATTGATGTTAAAGTTGTTGGGCAGATGTTGTGCAAATCCAAGGGCTTCCTAGATTTGAGTCTTCCTGCTAATAAATGAGGAAGGTCAGCATGCACCAGTAGGAGTGAGTTATTCATAATTTTTTTCTGTATTCTCTGACTAGTGTATCTTGCATCCATAAAGCTGGTGGTGCTATATTGCTCACAACAGGAAGCCAGCAAGCCAGAGTGGTTTTAATACATCCACTTATAATCCTAATTGTGTTTTTGAGTCTGGCGTCTAACTTACTAGTATGGTAGCTTTTAAGCCAAATCAGGGGCACAGTATTCTGCTGTGGAGAAGATCAACCCTAGGGCCGATGATCTGAGGGTGTCAGCTGAAGCTCCCCATTTAGTTCTACATAATTTCTGGGGTATGTTGTTTCTAGTATTGATTTTTATGGTATAGTACATGGTGTAGTATACAGTATATGGTACAGTAATGTACTCATAGACTGTTGTGCATAATACTCCTGATTCATAGAAATTAGTAATATTTTGCTGTTTTTCAGACCTTTTTCAGTAACATTTTCCCCTTTTTCAAACCAAATAACAAATGGCTAAGTATGCATTGTGGTTTCTAAGTATAGACACAGTTTGTATAGAATGGGCTTATATGAAGGTGGCTCCCACACTACAGTTGTAATATAGAAACAGAAACAGTTAGGTTGCCATACAGTACAAACTTAAAAAGGTTGAAGGAAGTATGACCTATTGAACACAATGAGTTTTATATCAGAAAGAATGGACATTACATTATTTTGCATATCATGTTTTATGAATATCATATCATTGGGGTGGGGGTGGGGACAATTCTTCAGATAATTTTTTGTAGAAAACCAGATACTACTACTGTAGAATGCAGTTATAACATATCTAGCAGCACAAAGGAGGTAAGGCTTTGCCTTTAAAGCTATATTTAACTGCATCTGAGAGTAACAGCTGTCATAATATCATTGAAAAAGCTGGTTAAATAGTAATGTTTGCTTCTCATAAGAATAGATGTGTATATCTCTTTGAAGCAGGTAAAAAATTTCTGTTAAACCAGGGGTCCCCAACCCCCAGTCCATAAACGGCATCAGGCCACGGCATGTCAGAAACTGGGCTGTGCAAACAAGTGAAGCCCCATCCATGGGATGCAGGCAGGATGCAAAACTATACCTTCTCTGGTCCGCTGGTCCCTGGTGGCCAAAAGGTTGGAGGCTAGCTTAAAACTAGCTTAAAAAGTGTTGAACTGTTTTGGGATAATCAGAACTGATGTTCAATAAACTGGGTTCCAATATATTTGTAATAGTTGTAAGGGAACAAACTATAGTTAGTTATATACTATAAGGGTGCAAGCCAGATCAAGGTGACTGATAAATATGTATATCTGAAGATCCATAAACAAAAATATAATCTATATAAGTTTATAAAACATGACATGCAACACTGAATCCTTTCGCCTTTTAAGGAGATTTATGAGAGCATAATCTATTTTTGTGATTCTCTGGTGTAACTTAGCAGCTGATTTTAAAGAAAAATAATCGTGCATTTAATAATGTCTCTCTTGCTGTTTTAACTAATCTAAATTCCCTTAATGCTGTTTCTGAAGCAGGAAGTCACAGGAATCTTGCTAAGATTATTTTGTAACGGCTCAGCTACAGTAAACATTGCTGTGATCAGTTTTGAACGAAGCTTCTTTTTTGGCACTTTTGGTACTTTCTTGAAATAACAAAAAAAGTGCAAAAAAAACCTTGAAAAATCCATGCTCCTGCTGAGCCAGCTGATTGCAAAGGCACATAGCAACTGAGGTCAGTGCATGCTAGGACTGGAAAACTGAGGTCTTTGTTTTATGTGTGTTTTGGGCCAATGCCATTGTGTTAAATTTACTGAATAATAGGCAGGCACTAGAAACCTGTATTTTTCTAGCATTCTTAACTTGGTACTTCTGCTGTTTTTGCCAAAGAAATAAATTCTTACAGTGTGCAATGGCCTTTCATCCAATCATTGAAAATATCACTAAAACTTTAAAACTCTTCTTCATCTAGCAGTTGCAGTAGCTTGAATTTTGAGGCAAGTAATAAAGGTTACAATACTTAAGTAGTACAGAGATATAGAAAAGTTTATGTATATGTAAATACCAGTTCCAGGGGTAATATGGATCCGTTGAATTTTTTGTAGAAGTATCCAAAGCCTGATATGCAAGCCTTTAAAATAAACTTCTTCCTACCTGGTTGAAGATGGTGGCCATAGTAATGTAACATTTCTGAAGTCATTAGTTTGGAAAACTAGCTTAAATGTTACTAAACTTCACACAGTTTGTAGTTGTTGGGGGCAGCCTCATCTGTTGTTTATGTATCTGCCTTATTTATTTCTATTTCAGCTCTAATATTGGAAATGGAACATAAGCTGCTGTATTATACCTGGTTAAAACTAGTTGGTTCAACCTTGTCTCTATTGACCAACAATGTTTTCCAAAACTCCAGGTGGGAATCTTTCCCAGCCTTACATGAAGTCACCAAGGGCAATACTTGGAACCTTAGAATGGAAATATTTGAAATAAAGGATTTTGCAAGATAATTTGTAAGGGAATTAAACATGTGGCTTGCATTTCTCCTCTTAAAATTTCACTGTTTTGAGTATGAATATGCCTCATTCATTTATAAACAAATACAGATTTATTACCATTGCCTCTATTTTGTCTTATATCATTTCAGGAATCTTTGCTGAATATAAGCACCTTGCATATTTTACAAAATGTAGAATTGTTTGTTGTATTTAAATCATTGCCTGTCCAGGTTTAGACACTGTGAAAACAACGCACTGCAGCAATTATTATTAATGTATAATTATTATTTAATAATCAGAACTAGATAAGTGGATGTTGCTTGTTCTACATGGGTCTCTCCAAGATAGAGCAGTAGGAAAATAAAGGATCAAAGTAATATCTACAAATTGCTGTAGATATACCGTATATGTATATTCTTTTGCCCTATTGTAAAATTTGCATTTAGAATATTAGATGATAGTTTGGATTTTTTTAAAAAAAATACTAAATGTTTTTTGTCTTCAACTTTGAAAGTTTATTTCATAATTAATTACTTTTTCATTGCCACAAAATGACTTTTATGCCAATTTTAGCAAGTAGGTATTATCTTTTCAGAAGTGAACTTGGAAATCTGGGAAACATTCAGTCTATAGTTTCCTTTTGCAACATAATTATCCCCCGGGAGATGATCCAAGCATTCTACTAAGATTAAACTTTGACAGAAGTATGATTAAAGATTATGGTAGATATATTATTGCAGTAGCTGCAAGTATTTTCTAGTACCGACAGCAAAAAAAGAAACATGGCATTTTTTGTATTTAAATCAAATTAATGGTCATAGGTATGTCAGGTCATTCTGGATAGCAATTCAAAACTTTCCCAACGTCTGCTTCATGAGAACGTAGAAAAGAGAAGTGTGACCTTAGACCTTGTCAATATACTTAGTTTATTATAGGCCACCTCTTAGTAGAAGAGAGCTCAAAAACTATATAAGAGAATGTGCCAGATGACATGCCAGACTCAAAGTTCTGTGGCACTACACAGGAGATATTTGACCTTGCCTGGGTAATGTTGTAATATAGTGTTTCTCAATATAGGCAACTTTAAAATGTATGGATTGCAACTAGCTGGCTGGGGAAGTCTGGGAGTTGAAGTCCATCTTGAAGTCACTGAGGTTGAGAAACACTGCATAATACATAAAAAAGGAGAGCAAAATATTGCTCCCAAAATCTGACAACACACCAACATTTGCTATCATAACAAATGTTTTCTGATTATTTTGCAAAATATGTAGATGTAAAATATAGGCATGTCTCATTTACGAATCTGAGCCAGTAAAGGGTGCTATATGCAGTTCAAAAAATGTAATCAGCTGGAAGTATTTGATATTTAGCAGACTGATTCCTGTCTAGATTAATTAGGTCTCTCTGGGATAGGTTAATTATGATCTTGTTCCTCTGAAACCACTGAGAGGAGAGCAACAACATATCTGAATCAGGTTCAGTAATCAAAGTTGTATACATAAAATGATCTTTAGCAAATTTCAAGTTTAGCTTTACCTTGAGAAATTGATCAGAGGTGCCTTCTTTCAGTTGATGTGTACCTGTTTCTGTACTACTTTTTCCTATTCTAATGTAGCAATAATATTAATAACATAACTCATAAAGTCAACATATTTGATTTAGAAGTTACAGATTAATAGATCAGCATGACTTGGTCACTTTGATGTATTATTTTTAAGGTAGCACCGTAGCACCATCTTGTGAAAGTTTTAAACTTAAAAGTTACAATTGAAAGAACTTAATGCACATAATGATTAAGCGAACTTTTACTGCATAATCTTGCCCGCTTATGCAGAAGCAAGTAACTAGTTCAATATATTTTCAAAATGTGTTTTTAGTTATGTTGAGAACATCTTTTTCTCAAGATTTAGGGCCTTTGCAATCCAGTCAATCACTTTCTTAAAGTTAATCTATCTTAAACAAGTAATAGTTTGTCAATTCTGTGTTAGAATTAAAAAGAAACAACAACAACAAAAGATTAACGTAGCCAATTTAGCTGTTTTGCACCATTTCAAAAGCATTTGGTTTTTTAAAGAAAATAAAGTTAAGGAAGATGAATGTGATACCTTTGACTAAGAATTTTTCTATTTCTTGCTGTTTTAGGCAGCTCCTCAGATGTTTACATAGGCATCTTAGGTTTCTGGATTGTGAAATTAGCTGTTCCCGGTAAAATGTGACACAGCTAAATTTGTACAAAGCTAATTTTCTTTCTTTCTTTTTTTCAGAAAACTCCAAGTTCAATCCTACAATTGTGACAGCCATATATCCCTTTCAAGGACAGCAACCAGGAGATTTGACTTTTAACCTTGGAGACAAAATCAAGGTCACAACAAAAACAGATTCCCAATTTGATTGGTGGGAAGGAAGTTTACATGGCAGAACTGGCATTTTTCCTGCTAATTATGTAACACTGAACTAAAGTATTTACTTAAAAATGGCCTTATACTTTTGATTAGTAACCTTTTCTTAAGTAAACATAAGACTGGTCATTTTATACTTTTTTGATTCAGTTGAATATGGGCTCCTGTAGGAAAGATCCATTAAAGCCCTCTTTTCATGGTCTTAACTTCCATTGCAGCCCCATATTTTACGGAAAGGAGATTGTAGAGAACAGAAAAGTCACATACTGTATGTCTCCTATATTCTGTTTTCCATTCTAAAGCTAGATATTGCATTGGACAGGGACATGGAAACACTGTTGGATTCCTGGAATTCCCCTGTTCTGTTTCATGCTGCTGTTGGCATAGGAAATGAGGGTACTACTGAGATCCATAAGGGCTCTTCTATTTATCTGGATCAGGCTTGTTTTACGGGATCACTCTTGCCATATTTTTCAAGCTATTTTAGAAAATAATTCCAAAAATGAAATTTTTCATAAATTTTAATGTCTTTCTATAATGAACAAAGCATAGAACTAATTGGAATGAACTGCATGACAGGTGCTCCATTTATTATATTGTGTCTTTAATATGGCCTTGTTACTAATTCAAAATACAACCTTAAATTATTTTTGCTAGGGATTTTCTGTATTTCTTCTGAACAAAAGAATGTTTTCATATTATGTACTGTGTTTAAGCATATAAATGTTATTCCTTTTGATTTGGTTTAAATTGCTGTTTGTATGTCTTGTATTTAAGCTAATAAATCATGATGAGTAAAAGAAGAATCAAACCATCTAATATTGTTATATGTAGTGTGACAAACATTTGCACTGATCTCGATCCATGTGCTTTTCTCTGATCATTTCCCAGAAGAACTCACAGTTTCTCTGCTAAGCTCCAAGGTGCATCTTTTAGTTGTTCCTCATGATTTGTAGACCAAGCTTCATTATTTGGTTTATATAAAATGTGTTGTCTGTTTTTAATTAATGTAGAAAGCAAGAATGTAAAACTGAGTAAGAGCCTAGAAAATTAGGTACTCTAATGCAAAGCCATAAAACAGGAGACAAAATAGCAGCAAAACCATAGCAGGCAAGAGGAACACAACAGCATAGATTCAGCTGAAGTCATAGATTCAGAAGTTTTCTGTACAACTTGTAAGACCTGGGAAGGGAAATGGAGGTCGGAATTTCAACAGTCATGACCAATGCATTGAGAATGCTTTCTGTCCACTCACTACTTGCCAGGCGTGTCTCCCTCAAGATGGCATTTTCACTAGAGATGAAGGAATGCATTGTCAATATATAAGAGAGGAGGTGATCCATCAGCATCCAGGTCCTAAGACATGCAAACTTTCTCAGTTCAAGCACTGAGTAATATTCTGGCCCCCAGTGCAGCTCTTTAACTGCATGCAGTCAGGATTGTATCTCCTTTAATGCATGAACCTTGTTGCAAGAATCCAAGCTTAAGCCTACCAGTGTCATTGTGGGTTGCCTATACGATGGTTAGACACTGGGGGGGGGGAGCATTTCCTTTGAAAAAGCATTCCTTGTACCTCCTGCATGCCCCTGGTGGAGACTGACTCTGAGGAAGGGGAGGAACAACCAACAGGGAGTGAAAGTGTGGTTCCAGAGGTGGTGGAGGAGGCTGGGGAAGGGCAGAGGCCGGCTGAGCAGTCAGAGGAGGACCCAGGCCCATCCCCTATCCATCCTAGGGCACGCAGGGAGGAGAGGATCAGGGTAAAATGTGGTCTACTCAGGAGGAGAGAGCCATGATCCTCTTCATGGGTTGCAGGTGTGAGATCTGCATAAAAGGTTGGACCTGCGTCCTAACAGGCGCTGGAGACAAATTAGTGTTTTATTCCTAAAGAAGGTTTATCTTGGTTGGCGTTCTTCCAATGGACTGTCCCTGGTTATCTTCCTGAAGTTGGCAATTATCTATCCTGGTCTGTCGTGGAACTTTATTCAATGCGGTTTGTTTTTGTTTTTTGCTTCGTTATCGGCTCTTTGAATTTGAACTGTGTTTCTTTCCTTTGAAATGTTATTTTGAAAATAGTATACTCCTCCACTATGAACAATTAAACAGTGAAGCCAAGTTGAAGGCATCAAAAGGACTTTTAGTTACGTTTTGGGTTTTGTTATATGTCTGATATACTCTGGGTCATCACACCTTCATTCGTAGCATTAACTCTAAGCACAGACTAAATGACCATTCTTTTAGAAAAATTACAGTTCCACTCAACCGTGGTAATCTTCCTGATACCAGGGGTGTCTCTTGTCAGGTTTCAGTTTCAACATTTGCTGTCCCATGTTTTACCAGTCCACCAGAATCACCAGTTTCCTCTCTTTCTTTGTGTCATCGGGGTACTAATAACAGTTCATACCAATGTCTCTTAATCGTTGTTCTATAGCAATATAAGCCACATTGGAGATAAAACAGAGCCCTGAAAAGCCCAACTCATTTATCGTTTGTAGTACTGTGCACTGGGGAGTGGAAACAGAATGCAAATCTCATGGCTTGTCGTGTCCTTCCAGCAGAGGAGTTCAAAATTGTAAAAATTGAGTGAATTTAAGCAATGTGCAGAGGGAAATGCAGTATATGAGTGTAAAGGTTAAGCTTGCGCGTATGTAATTGTGTATGTGTGTGCATGCTCATTTGTACATAATATTCCTTCAGGCTCAAAACAGGAGGGAGGTATAGGTATAATTTTTCTATTGCCGGTTATCCTGGCAACATTCTTGTAATGACTACAAGTTGGAGTTAACAATTTCTGACTGGGATCAAGAAGTGCTTCTGAAAACCGATGCTGCATGCCAATCCCCTGTGCACATTCTTCAGTACCAGTTTATTTAGAGAACTAAATGCAGTTCATTTTGAAAATGGTGTCTGGTTTCACATTGCTTCTTACTCTCTTTGGCCGATTCTTTGTGTATTAAATCACCTAATCTCTTTCCTTCCTTCAAGATTTTTAAAACTAACCCCCTAGCTTGAGTTATAAACCAAAGCCATCATCCTGGCTTTAATTGGTTGCTTGTCATCTATCATATTCTGACAAATACGTATGAAAAGGAAGAACACAACAAATGTGTTGTGGGTCACTTAAGTGTTCTGGGTCACTCACTTTGTATATGGGCTTTTAATTAATGTCAACTCTTGGGCCAGCAAATGTCCATGTAGCACCACTAGACATATTGCGTGGAGTTGTAAACAGAATGTAATGAATCTACTGATGTTTCTCTTGGCCTTGGATTAATTAACAAAAAAAAAAGCCTACACGTGTCAAAAGTAATGAATGGCATTTCATTCATTTTGGCAGTAAACAGGTTGCATCAGGTATGTTGTGTAGCTGACACTTCATTAATCATGTTTCTCAGCTTCTCCTGTTCTGAATATTTCATCTTGGCCAGTGTACTATACTTTGGTTCATCAATCTAGCTTTTTTAATTCCCAGCATATATTGTTTTTTTGTGAAACAATGCTTGTTTTGTATTTAGCTGATATCCTTTCATTTTCAAGCTAGGTTGCCATTTTAACAACATTATTTTTAGCTCAGTCTGGATTTCATATCATCTTTCAGTCCTTTCTAATAAGGCTGAGAACCAAATTGCCAATTAAAAAAGAGATGTCAGACAAATTATGGTAGCTTTTTATTTGTATGGACTAAAATAATTAATAAGCTGCTCTGTTTACCTTAAAATTCTTTTGTATTTTTATTGCTTTAATATACAGAAAACAGAGAGAAAAGTGTGTGTGTGTGTGTCACACATATAGAGAAAAAAATTCAGCACAAGACTTCATTCAACCTTGATCATACAGAATAGTATTGATCAGTTTTTCTATTGCAGCACTAGCAATCCAATTCATAATAGAAAGCAAATACGTATTGATGATTCAGGACTGCAAATTTGGTGCCAGTCTTTCCAAAGTTGAAGGGCAATTCTTGCTGCCACCATGGTAGATAAATCATTGATAATCTAATACAGTTCCAAGTTTGGGGTATATAATTTAAGAATACATTCAGATGTTTCAAATGCATTGATCAAAATAGGAATATTAAAGCAAAGCATGGAAATAATGGGGCAGGCCTCTATCATGACAAAGTATCACCTAACCCAGGGGTCTCCAACCTTGGCAACTTTAAGTCTTGTGGACTTCAACTCCCAGAATTCAGCCAGCGTAGAAGTCCACAAGTCTTAAAGTTGCCAAGGTTGGAGACCCCTGCCTGACCTAACCTACTTTAAACATCTAACATGGTGAGAATGAGAGCTAATCCTTTTTAAATATTATCCAGGATGCCAATAAACATAAAAAAAACATGTTAATTAGTCAGATCTTAAAGTCATAAAAACCTAATAGTCTTCAAGAACCATAGCTGTTGGTTGATTTATCAATATTTTATTTTTTAGATTTATATGTCACTTTCTGTTCAGAGGCTAAAACTGTATATTATTCAAAAGTATACTATACATGTGCTGGATGAAATCAGCAGTTTTCAAAGTTTTTTTCTGTTTAGGAGAAATCCCTTTTCAAAGTAACATTAAACACAGTTTAGGGTTCATCTTCCAAATTAATTATATATTTTATCAAAATTAGCAAAAAGAAAAACTTGTTGATTATTCATCTGACAGAAATAAGGGTTAGGCACTGCAAACTTCACCAGCTGTAAAATTTGGAGTTTACTTTAAAACAATTTGGAACCTTTAACCTTTTCAAAATTTGGTAGTTAAAATTTTGGGTCATCTATTTTATTAATAAGTGTTATTTATTAGGTTTTTTTGTTTTGTTTTGTTAAACATATTTGTTACCCATCTCATCAGGGACCTACTCTGGGCAGTTTACAACAATAAAATGGCTTAAAAAAAATTAAATGTTTTTTAAGTTACCTGTTAATAGATTCATTCCATACCAATGCAAGTAATTATATTAAGTAATATTTTTCTATTGTCAAGCACAAGAAGCCAGAAACAGAAATAGAGTTCAAACACTAAAAGTTTATTTTATTATACACAAGAACCTGATCTACTAACATTCAAGCCAAGTTGGCACTAGGTAAGAGTCAGTGGAATTCACGGGCAGCTCAACTTAGGTCTCTTGTGGAGATGTAATGATTCCAAACTAATGATACATTTGACCCTTCCTTCAGGCTCCACCTGCTCATTTACACCTATTTGCTACTAACTCAATTTAGGATTAAAGCCTTCACTGGGTAAAACAATGTTTCTCAGCCTTACCAGCTTTAAGATGTGTAGGTCTTCAACTCCCAGAATTCCCCAGTAAACCCATCCTTATTTTAATTCTCATCTTTTATATTTTTATTGTATTGCAAAATTATTATTTTTTTAGAAAAAGTATGCATTTATATATAAAAGGGGGCTTCTCAATGATGGCGCCCTAAGTGGATACCCTGTACAATTTTACTGATTGTATTCTCTTTGTGGCATCAAAACTGAATGAATGTTTCTTTTTTGGCAAGACATTT